TTTTAATAAAAAGTATCTTTGTTTACATTTATTAATTGTTCCCTTCGATTTATTTTATAATTTTTCCCGTCAAGTAATGTGCTAAATAAAAGAACGTTTTCATATAAACAAATTAGTTACAAAACTTGACAATATCCACGGTCTGCGCATAGCAGAAGCAAACCATGAGAATAAAACGGGCATAGTAGGAATTACTGTGGAGAGAAACTTTCTAGTAAAGGAGATGCGCGAGACGGACGAGTTTTCGTCCATCTGGTTTCTCTTCTCAAATTGAACGCAGTATATGTTCATTTAGAGTTCGTTCCGTTTTACGCATATGCGCGCATTTATCTATAGTACACGTCACGTATAGTATAGACAAATGCGCGCATATGCGTGAAACGGAACGCAGCTTTAGACTCGTCACATGATCGAAACGTAGCTGTATACAAACGCTATCTAGTGGGAAATATAAGAAACGATTTTTTTACATTGACTTCCGGTTCGACGAGTTTACGCAACACACAGACAATCGGTTGTTAAGAAACGTTTCGATTGTAACAGTGTAAAAATTTTGAACGAAAAAAGATGTTGCGCGTTATAGCGACACGCATGGCCTCAACAGCACGTACGACAATAATGTCCCGAGGAACCGTCATCGTTGGCACGCAGAACATCCGAGCTTCTCATGGTGGACCTAAGGAGACCGACGAGGAATTTGACGAACGATACGTGAAATTTTTCAGTCGCAATGATATCGATCACTGGGAGATTCGAAAAGCTATGAACGATCTGGCCGGTGAGTTTTATAAGCGTTACTTGACCCTATTTATTATTATTTATATATTGACTTAGATATGAAAAATATGTTGACACTTTTATACTTAATACTTTGCAACTGCTTTATATGAACAGAAAAGGTCATGTATAAAGTTTTTACGCTTAAAAAAAAGCTATTTGATGTAATACTTGAAAATATTTGACAAGTATATTATTACAATATTAAAAATTAATACAGATAATATAAAAATTTTAAAATGATGTACTATGCTTACAATATAGTATAGTGAAATAGATATGCCAACACTAATTGTTATTCCATCTCTTACTTAAATACAAATAGATTATGTAGATATAAATTATACTGACTACATATATATATATATATATACATATATTGTTTTTTAGGTATGGATCTTGTGCCAGAGCCAAAAATTATCATTGCAGCATTAAAAGCTTGCAGAAGGTTAAACGACTTTGCTCTTGCTGTAAGATTTCTAGAAAGTATTAAAGAGAAATCTGGATCACATGTGGACAAAATTTATCCTTATATTCTTCAAGAGATCAGACCTACTTTAGATGAGTTGGGTATTAGTACACCTGAGGAATTGGGTTATAATAAGCCAGAATTAGCTTGTGAATCAGTATATCATATGTAATAGATTAAACTTTAATATAAACTCTAGTAGTTTATATTCTTAGCTGCTGTTCTTGATGCATGAAAAAAAAGAATAATTTATCAGTGAATATAAAATATAACTTATGTATTTGCATTACCAGCAGCATGTTAAATAAACAACCACAATTGTCATGTTTAATTTCTGTCATTTATGAGCAACTGAACGTTATGTAAAAAGATGATATAACAAAAGACTATTTACCAATCATTTATAATTTCTAAGCTCAAATTGTTTTGGATACAAGAAGATAAATGAATAATGATACAATTACATGTACAAGTTATATGATATGGAAATGTTTCGTGAGATATACAGCATTCGATACAGTATATATATATATATATATATATATATATATATATATATATATATATATATATACATGTATATATATATATAAATGTGTGTGTGCGTGTGTGTACACATACACGTACGTTTATTATTCTCTAAAATCGTAATACACGGATTTTGGTTTCTTGAATGACATTCAACTTAATTTATGCTTTGTGTGCTTTGTTACAAATAACAGAGAGAAAATATACATTGTTATTTTACATAATTTTTGTGAGTACTGATATATTACATTAATTGTGGGTGAAATCGTAAAAAAACATAACAATATGTAGTAGTTTTTTATATGATAAATTTTTAACATCGTATTTACTTCTATCACTATCTATATTGCCTATAATGTTTATAAAAATCTCTTTGGTATTCTTACACATGGTATTAAGGGCAGTTTGTTGTTTCAATGTTACGATTTACATCTAATACAATTTGCTGCTCAAAACTGATGAATGAATATCACACATTTTATATATAATTCCATATATAATATACAGATTTATATTGTCGAAGAAACACTGAACAAACTCAAGAAAACAACAAAAAATATATATATATAATTTTTTCAAGATACCGTAACATTGAAACAAGAATGCGCACAAAAAATACACTTTTCGTTTTTTTAAATACATTTATATAAAAATGGATTCTTGGTTTAGATACTCATGACATAGTCTGACTATTTTAATGTAAAATAGAATCGATTATTTTTTTTGATTACCTTCAACAAGAATGAAGGAATGTATATCAATTCTAGTTTTTACAATCGCATATTTTTTCTTTAAAAAATTAATGTTTATAGAATTATGATAAATTTTACGATCAATAACTATTAAAAAAAAACAAAACATTTATATAGAAATATAATTACTACCTTATTTTATCATAATTGATCAAAATCATACAACGCTTTTTATTGATGCGCTAATCTTTAATCGAAGCATGTACGTGTATACATATGTGTGTGTGTGTGTGTGTGTGTGCGTGTGTGTGCGCGCGTGTATGTATGTATGTGTATATATGTATGTATGTATACACACACACACACACGCATATACATACGTACATAGAGAATGTTCAGTAATAATCATGTCATCTCCCGCAGATAGAGCAAGTTTATATTGAGTCGGAAAGTCCTTTACTATTTTGCGAGTTTTGCAATACTTAGGTAATGAGTAGTTTATAAAGATCCGTGAATATGTGAATATGCGTCTGCTGTAAAGAGACAGCCCAGCACTTTGCGCGTTTACAGTTGCTAGACGCGTGGCGACTCAATGGAAAGAGTGCTCTATAGACAGCAATGGTTATAAATAATAATCTATTGATTAAAACGTATGTCATGAAAAATTGTTTATTTAGTAATTACTTATTTTGATTAAACTCCTTCCGCAATTGGATCACTACGTGAAACGCTGAGCTGTTTCTTCACGACAGACACGCTCATTTTCACGAATACTTATAAATTAATAATTCATTAATTATTAGGAAACTCACAAAATAATAAACTTTGAATAAACTTCTAGTAAAAAACTTTTTGACTCAGTACAACACGCTCTGTCTGAGAGATGATACGATTATTACCGGACATAGACCTGTATATATATAAGTGGTGCAATGTAATTCTCACGTAAAATAAGACTATGGACACACGCCTGTTACTGGTGCGTATTGAAATTTCAAATCCATAACTTGTTTTATCGAAATTACTTACGTCTTATATCCTATTTGTACCCGTCAGAAATGCTTAATTTTTTTTCATTATCTCTATCATTTCGCTCTTATGTGTGTATATTATATATGTAATGGGCTGGTGTTTCTCTGATTTTGACCATATAAAACACTATCGTTGGTTGTAGTACACAAAGTTTTTTTGTACATGAAGCAATGAGAATATTTCAAAAAAATTAATTAATTGTTATCTGCAATAAAGACTAGTAATCTTTTATTAACGGTTCTTAGGAAGCTAAACGTGTTTGACTATTGGAATTTCCTGATACTCAAACTCAAATAACAATAAAACAAATACTGAATTTAAACTTTAAATTTTAAGTTTTGAACACTGATACAGTCAAACCTCTATATAAGACGGAAATTTTTTCATTCCCTTCCTATCCGCAGAAAGGAAAAAAACTTCGATAAATCGAAACCTCTACAACTCGAAGATTTTAGCTCTTCTCTTGCGATTCGAGTTATCAAGGGTTGACTGTATTTTAAATCAGTGTGTCTGAACTTTGTTTTTTTTTTTCAAGTAAGTTTGTTTTCACCGAACGATCAATTATTTTAGAGATACAGAGAATTTCCGAATTATATATATATATATATATATATATATATATATATCCGTCGTTTTTTCTTGTTAAAAAATATTAAGGTTAATACATATAGTTTGGAATTTTTCTTACGCTAAAGAAAACGATAATATATATTTACTGCTATTCGAGCTTTGTTTGTGTGTGTGTGTAATTTATATAAATTATACATTAATTTACTAAAACCGGTTTACATATATGTATAAACACTTCCTCGTAGAATATGCTTCTTATAATATACATTATCTTTTTTGAATTACTAAAAAATAAATGTCTTTGGTATATTTCACATATCAATCGGACACACACACACACTCTCTTTTTCCCTTTCTTTTTAGATAGACTAGATTAAAAATATGTTTTTAGGTTGTCAATATCAAGGAATACACATATCAATTTTCATTCTCTAATATAAAAAGAACATAATCTTGTAAATTAATTTTTCTACAAAAGAACATTTTTTTTAAAATTAATATTATGTTCAAGACATTGTGAGTACTCTCAAATATCTCTGATACATCGTGAGTACAAGTACGACTTATCTTACCCCAATCGATCATTTACATCTCACTTTCAAATAATATCGTCGTTTAACGACGCACAGTTAGTAAAACACACTACACGATGCGATGAGACGCAAAGAGAAAGAAAAACAACACCAACCGTTTATTAATTGCATGCTTTTATCATTTCTCCGTATAACACCGTAATGCGCGATTGCACGGGATAGCACGGAGCGGATTAACTAAATTACACTTGACAGTTATTCTGGGCTAGGTACAGTTTGTTGTTGTTGTTGTTGGCTATCCTCGTCTTTGACAACTTCGGCCTGCATAGCCTTCGTCAGGACATTAGCATCTTTCAACGATATTACTTGAAGAACTTGATGTTCTCCTGCATTTATCATAGTCATAGGATGGCCCTGTATAGCAACAGCTTCAATGGTTGTATCGCCGTTTCCTGGCTCGACTTTGGGTACTTGAACCATCGGCGTTACCACCTGCATCGTGCCGTCGCTCTGGATATTGGCCACCATAGTTTGATACATACTACCAGACACTGGCACAGTGATCACCCCTGAGACCGAGACTGGATATCCTGAAACAAACACATAATAACCGTCCTACGTCCTGCCGTCAAAACACACAACTTGACATGGATATTATAAAATAGAAAAAAAAAAAAAAACGGTAAAAAAATATAGAAAACGATAAACAAATATCTCAATTATACTCACAGTGCGACAATGTCAAGAAGCTTGCAAAGCTAAAATTTAACCAAAATATCTATGCATAATTGAGTCTTGTCTTGTTCGCACTACGTACTTTTTCAATAAATTAAGTAACAATCAAACTATTAATCATTCATGTATATAGTTAAAAATCATTTAATTTTGTATGTAGTAAAGTATTAATCCTTAACTGACATGATGGGTTCCTCGGATCGCTAAGTCTATTTTATAAAAAAAAGAAATTTTTTTATAACTGTATTAAACAGAAAGATAAATGTGTTTATAAAAAGAATCAGAGTTTCAGGTAGGACAAAAAATGATCTGCGAGAAACTGTTACATATCAGTTAAAAGTTATGAAATATGTAACAACATTTTATATAGTAATAACAATTTGAAAATGCAAAAGTAATATTAGATTGTTGAGTATATTATGAAGAGAATCGAGTATACTTGTTACAATTTAAGAATTCTCTTGCACACTTTTTTGAATCTTATCGCAGTACGAAGAAAAGCACGGTCTGTTTAAGAAAAATCTAAGGTGTTTAAAGACAGTATAAAAGACAGCGAGCGTTTAAGCTGTTTACAAAACTTTAAAACTTTTAATCGCACAACATTCCATATGTAAAATTTCCAAAAGCATACACTTCAACATTGATGCGTTATTTGTTTTAAGCTTAAACACAGACTGCTAAAACGTAATGTATATAAAATAATAAAACATCAACCAAAAATACTCTATGTACAGCAAGTTTATTTCTTTTTTATTTAGAGATGATATACCAATCATCAATAATAACGACAACTGGTTGCAGAACAATTTCTTTTGTGACCGTGACATTTTTGACGATTTATTGAATTAAGAATTTTAAGAATCCGGAGGCGATATGTTCTATTAACGATATCATTATTGGAAGATTAAGGATCTTTCACACATTTGTTATAAAATTTACACGAGTTTTGATTATACATATTAAGTATAGATTTTTTTAGAATATAGATGATATTTGTTTGAATATAGATGTGTTAGAAATTTTACCAGATAAAGAAAAAATGTTTAAGCATGTCAGACTTTTCATATTTTTCAAGTACCTGAGAAAGACAAAGAGAGAGAGAGAGAGAGAGAGAGAGAGAGGGAGAGAGAGAGAGATAGATAGAGAGAGAAAGACAGAGAGAGAGAGAGAGAGAGAGAGAGAGAGAAAGAGAGAAAAAGAGAGATAATCATTAAAAATAAGATAATTCTTTTTACATGCACAATTTATAAATTACAGATAATATACGTATAAACGCATGTGTTAAAAATTCATATCTTTCTATATTATAGTCTATTTTATGTCGTTGTAAAGCTTCCTTGACATCTATAGACGATACATATTACAAAATTGAAAATATATCTTTCGACTAATACTTATATATACACTTTTATATCATATAAAAAGGCGCCATGGATTCTTAAAGATGAGGACTTCAAATAAAGCTGTGCAATAGCTCCATTTGTATATAAAAACTATTGTATATACAATAATACAAATACATAAACTAGTTCAAATCTACTTCATAATACGAAGTAATAATATAACACATACAGACATGATTTCTGATTGGAGCATAGAAAACAGCATGCAAATCGAGGATTAAGACCAGTATATATTCAATCATTTTAACTTTTTTATGTAATTTGATACGATTATTGCATCTAACCATGCATTGATTTAATGTAAACACAAATAAGAAGTATTATTATCCGTGATAATCAAGTCTGTTGAAAACAGATTTTGTCAAATCTGTGACAAAAGTTGATAAATTGACGGCTAATTCCGCTTAATCTGTTGAATATAAATTGAATATAAATTTGATAACATATTGACAGCTAAAACCGAATAAATCTGTCAAAGCCATAATGTTATTCTACAGCATCTTTAAAAGAATTGTAACAAATCTGCTCGATATTTATAATATTAGCGAATCTGTTGACACAACATTGACTTTCTTTTACAGATAGCTCTTGATGTATTGCGAGATTCTGCTCGGCTACTCTGTTCGTAAATTATTAGCAATTTGTGTACTGAAATGATATTATTATAATATATATTATTATACTTAATATAAATTATATATAATATATAATAAATATAATTGTGTTTTATAATATTGTTATATAATTCACGAATCATGATGCTGATTGAAACTTGAATTGAACGCAAATACTACTTGAATATAAAGATAATTATATCAAAATATTGTGTAGTGTGTGTTTCTCGTGTATTTTTTCACTATTAGAATCATCATATTTCTCAAGTAACGTGCTTCATTTTTTTATATTGTGTGTCATATTTATATTATGATTGAGGAATCTTCGAAAAAACTCAGTTTGGAATTTGCTAATTTTACAGTCACATAATGCCATAAATAAAATACAAAATAAAGCATAAATTATGTCAAATATTTAGTAACAGTTGATTTAGTAAGATGAAGATATATATATATATATATATATATATATATATATATATATATATATTATATATTATATATATGTATGTATATATATGAGAAACAATGTACGACATCAGATACGGTCAAGTTTCACAGAAACAGAGGAGGAGCAGAAAAAAATTTAGTTTAGTAATAAATAAGAGAATATTATAAAAGTAGCTATTTTTGAAATCGTTTTATTTTATTATCTTTAAATCCTGATGTGATAAAAGATAAAATATGTTAAGTTTTATTATCACAAGTTTGAATTTTTTGACATCTCCGATTTGTTTATCGGTTTACTCAACAAAAAACGCACTTATTATTACTTCAGATTTACCGATCATAAACCAGAGAACTCCTTCCCGACATTTTACATTGTTCAATTATACCGGTTTTAATCCTTGTTGCAACTTAACGAAAAAAAACAAAAATCTTCAGCTAATAAAAAAATCACTGCTCGAGTAGCTCCTGGCCGGCGACGGTGCAGAGCCTATAGAAAACTGGTTTACCGTGTCCATCTTCTCCAGTGAGGATGATTTGACCATCTTGACCTAATGTCGCTTCCGTAACAGTGTTCAGATCAACGGCCACACTACCGTCGGTGCTACCAGCTACTTCCGCTAATGCTTGTACTTCTCCTTGACTCGTGTGAATCTGTCAATCATAAGCAGAACATGTAACTGCCTTTTCTTACACGATTAAATATTATAAATACATTGTACATACTGATTCTGTCAAAATAATTTCTTGAATTTTATCGGTTTTCTCAAAATAGTTACATAAAATTCGTAAGAATTATGTGACAAATAGATAAATGTTTACAAAAGAAGACTTACTGTAGCTACTCCTTGAACCTGGGCTGTCGTACCATCCGGTAAGGTAATTATTGGTGTACTAGGATCCACTTGTATAATAGAAACTGTACCATCAGGATTGGTTATTGTCTGCAATACAGTTGTTGGATATTGGGCCGTCATCTGTTAAAAAAAAATTATAATAATGTCACATTAACTTCCTACTATTACATCAAAAAGCCACATTCCAAACTTTTATTTTTGAAATATTCGCACAAAAGCCAAAAAAGAATACTAAATAAAAACTACAAAAAATAAAAACAAATTGGTCTCTATTATTCAACACAGAAACCAATCAGTTTCAAAAGTAATTATTGATATATGTAAATAGACTATATTATTAATTTTATTGTGAATTGAACAAGATTTTAGAATGCAACTTTAACTTAAAAAAGAAATGTATATGCATGTGTGTGTGTGTATAGCTTGAAATCAAAAGTACAATTCTGAATTGAATTTGTTAAATTTAAGGTGTTACTTAATAAAATATTTCAACATATAGCACTATATTTATTTAACGTAACTTATGTTTGTTAAGTATAAAATCTAATGTGTAAATAAAATAACAGAAAAAAATATATCTCTTCAACTCAAATAAGGGAAACTAAACGTGTCAATCATGCTTCTTCAAGCAGCATATGCTTTTAACTTATTCTTTTGTACAAGATTTTGAAGATCAAGTAACAAAAAATTCTTTTTTCAAAAAAAAGCTCAAAATAAAAGATACAATCGTGCGAGTCAATTTAATTTGCTCATGCACTTATATGTATTCAACTCTATTTTAAGCTCTAATTTTATTTCATGTACTCCATCCACTCCCACCTGAGTGGCAGTGGCAAGAGCTGAGGGAGATGTGGCAATGATTTGTGCCGGTGAAGAGTTTCCCTTAGATGATTCCGTGCTGTTGAGACGAACAACTCCCACCGTCTGTTGCGACTGTCCTCCATTTTGTCCTTGATTTGACGAATGTGATGAATGCGAAGGGTGCGACGACGAATGAGCCGTTGCTTGTATCAGAACATTAGACTTGTCATCTTCTTCGTTAAACGCTGGCAAAAGATCTTCTCTTCCGTGGAATTTATAACAATTTATTACAATTTGCCGCAATGCATGAGTCCATGAGATCTAAAATTAATTACAATATTATTTGTATTGTGTGTGTATATGATAGAAAATAAGTGAATATATAATAGAAGAGAAATAACATTGTTTTACACACTTTTTGTTTTTCATCATCTGATCGCGCATCCATTCGAACATTAGCCCAAGGCAACTCTTTAGGCCACCAAGGAGGCCGCGTGCTATCTCGTCCCCAACCAGGTTTGCCACGGCCCGTAGAATATTTTAGCATCAACGGGATAAACGCCCTGAGTTGTGCCTGTGTCATTTTCTCTACTGGAGTCGGTATACCATCAATTATCAATGGCGGTAATTCATACAGAGATGGATCATCCTGCGTAGGTGGCGGTGCTTGTTGTGCAAGTGCAGTTTCAAGTTCTTCCATAATAACGTTTCTTAGATTTTTGACTACATCTTCTAATGGTTTCGCCCCGAATACTTTGTAACTACTATTTGGTTTGCCTGGTGTAGCTACTAACACAACTGCTTGTTGTCCGACTCGTGTTGCATATTCATCAATGGTTTGCTGCAAAATAAATTGACACATACATATATAAATTACATATAATATTTGTGTATATACACAAATATTGCTCCAAACTTCTAGAATAAGTACATTTTGTCACAATAGTATGACTATTTACTTACTCTAAGTTTTCTTAGAAGTCTATTCTGCTGTCTTTTTCTGACGCTAGGATTAGTCTCAAAACTGTGAGGTCGTTTCCGTTTTTTAGCTGACACAATGGCTGCAGCAGCAGCTACACCAACAGGTCCTAAATTGTTTTTAATACAGAAAAATGGTTTAAATGCTACAAGTTTAGTCTGTTTATATATTAAAATATAACAAAAACCAAACAAAGCAAGCAAAACATATTTGATAATATAAACAAACTATCAATATAAAATATTTGTTTATAAAATACACTTTTATTTTGACAATTTGTACACCAATACACATATGAAGAATAATTTAGTCAGTGTATAATATACATGATATTTATATATTGACTAAATTATTTCGAGTATGTCAGAAGCATAAATGTATTTAAAGCAAGAATATACAAGCAATAAAACATTAAAAAAATAAAATATTCTCTTGTAAAAAATAGACATTAAAAAAAAAAATAAAAAAGAAAAGCAACCAAAAAACCAATGAAAAATCACCATTACTCTTTTTGCATTGCCAACCTGCAGCAGCGAGTTGGGCTGTTACGTCATCATCCATAGCAGCCGTAAGAAGATCTCCTTCTTCATAAGCCTCTGATTCACTACTGGGATCATCATCGTCATCATCTGAGATTCTATCCATAGTACTGGTCTCTGCATTAGGCAGAGACATCTTTTTGTCTTCGTCCTCCGTCTTGATATTTTGTATATTGCAAATATAGGATACAAATCACTTCTTGGATAGGTATGTCAAAAGTGGCAGTATCAATTTCTTCTACATCACCTTATCCTATATATATATATATATATATATATATATACATATATATACATACGTACATATATAATATAATACAATAAAATATCATTTTTCAATAAACTGCAAAATGATTTATTATTAAACATAAAACTATATATGCATACACATGCTCACACACGCGCGCGCACACACGTAGAAATATTAATTAATTATATATCATTTTTAAATTTAGAAGACTATGCAAAGAAATATAAATAATCAATATTTTCTCTCTGATATTACATTTATAATAATTGTTATCTCAGCTCATATTCTACAAAGGAACAAATATTGAAAGCTACATAAACTTATATAAATATTGTATAATATTTTTCTATTAATTATTTATATTTAAAAATTTCTTATACTCTTTAAGTGCATCACATTAAAATGTAAAAATCCAAAAAAATTGGAAACAAAATATGACTTAATGGGAAATCATGAATAATTCTAATTACTGTATATAAATGTATCTTCTATTAAAAGAAAAGAAATAACTGAAATCTGAAGATAAAAAAGCAGTGTTTTAAATTTGAAATTAAAAACAGAAGCAAATTTGTATGTACATTTTGCACAACTGACGATCAAATAGTTTATGTCTGCAAGTGAGAAGATATCTCTTGCAGGGAAACTTTCCGCGATACATCCTCCTGGTAGAAGTCGGCCTGGCATACTCACGCGACCGTGTGGCGAACGAGAACACGCGCATTCTCACACCGCACGTATATAACACCGTAAACTGATCAGAACGGGAGCAACGAGATTGTCGTTGTCGTTGTCATTGTCATTGTCATCGTCATTGTTGTTGTTGTTGTTGTTGTTGTTGTTGTTGTTGTTGTTGTCGTCGTCGTCGTCGTCGTCTTCGTCGTCGTCGTCGTCGTCGCCGTCGTCGTCATCGTCGCCGTCGTCGTCGTCGTCATCGTCGATGACGGCGGCGGCAACGGTCGCCGCGTCTTTCATCGACTTGGTGACATTCCGCGTGCGTTGAGTTGACAAACGGACAGACGACAACAAGACAACGCGTGATAAAGAACGCGCGCGTAAGGGGCGGAGAGAACGGAATGGAACGGTGAGGCAGACGGAGAGGGAGACGGGGGATATGCGCGTTTATTCGGGACGATACTTTGGGGGGGCAATGAAAATGCGCAGGGCACACGCAAAAGAGACCACCTCCGGGTAGCCGCGGAGCTGCTCATGACGACTGCTCGGTAACGCGGAGCCGTCGGAGCAGGCCCAGTGAAAATCGCGAGTTGCGTACGCACCTTGGTGTGTCCCGTGGAGTGGATCAGAGAGGGCTCAGGGCTCTTCGCGTACGCGGGGAGGCAGCCGCCTCGGCTACGCTCTCACACCACGCCCCGTACTCGCGGCCGCGCTCGCGCTTACCATCACCGGACCGATCTAGCGTGAGCGATCGCGGCACTCTTGTCGGCGCGTTTATCTCAGGATGTGTGACGCGCGACAACGGTAGCCGCCATGGCCGGTATTCGGCGGCAGGCGTATCGATCGGCACCGAGCAAGCCTCCATCACCACCACAACAAACGCGATCACGACCGGCCATCTTGGGCGAGCCTGCGCGATGCACGCCCGCCCGAGCAGACGATGCGAAATTGCTGCGATTTTGCGAACGTGCCGGACACCGCGCACGACCGACTCCGATCGGTGATTGCTTATGCGCCAAGTTCGCGCTGATATTGTGTTATTACTTACCTTTTTCCCGTAGAAATCCGCGAACGATAACAGCGATGCGAGAGAACGCCAACGCCATATACACATACACAAATCTAGAGTAGCGCGATTGGCGGGAATCGTTAGGGCACGCGTTATGGCGGACAGTGTAGGGCTGCCGCCATTGGTCGGCAAGACACGTGACTACCGTTCGCGGCTCGACTGATATAAATGTCGGAGACAGACATAACCTGTAATGCTTCTTAAACTAAAAACTTGATAAAGAAATCTCAATGTTGTTCAGGTAGAAGATTCTTCAACCGAAAGATAAAAGACCAGAACAAAAACAACTTGGAAAAATTGCAGCAGTTTCTTCGTTGTTTCTGACGATTTGGTAAGGGTTACATCCGTTGATGTCAAATGTCTATGTGTGATCATGACTGTTATCACATTACATACTCAAACACTGCGTCAATCGCAAAAATGTGTCAGTGTTGCGTATGTTATGTTTAACACAAATTGTTTCAGTTTTGCATTGCGTATCACTATTTTCACATTTTTTGTGGCATTCTTAATATAAAGTAATTAAACGATTTATTATCTAGTAATGTAAGAATTCATTTTAAATTTTATTTGAAAAATTCTAATCTTACTAAGGAAATCAATTTTATTTGTTTCTGTTTACATACATTAAAGAATTATGTTGATTTGTACTTTTTATAAGAGATAAATGGGATTTATATAAGAACGGAGGACATGTGTACATACATATCCAGCATAGTTTATTTTAATTTTAATTACATTATAGACTTAACAAAGTTCATATTTATTTATATAATTTATACTATAAGATGTACACAAAAAAATTAGTGCAAAGATAAAAAAATCCATCACAGGCATATACTATACTATTTAATTACTTTATAGTAATTTTCAGTTACTAAACAAATGTTAGAATATATTATATATTCTCTTTTGTTTTTGGAGATTTTTAAAAACATTTTTATTTTGTAATACAAAAATATTAATATGACTAAATATGTGTTATAAACTGATGTTATTTTTTTATACATATATATATATATATATATATATATATATATATATATATGTACATGAGATAAAAAGTACATTGTACATTATAAATTTTATATTGTGCAAATACTTGATTGAATTGTTTGAAACTTAATTTATGTGAAGTTATTTTTTTTTTTGCACTTACCTCTCAATTTATGTATTATTTTAAGTGTGCAATTGTATCATTTTAACATCAAGAGATTCTTTTTCTATTAACATATTGATTTTCATTTCTTAATACAATAAAGAATATATATTACAAACGCATTTAGAATTATATCTGCTGATTTTTCTAGTGGGATTGTCATTTTTAAGGCATTTACTTGATATAAAAATAACATTCTCAAGAAATATTCCTCATCAGTTAATGAACAATAATTTCTTAAGCCCATGGCTTATTTTTGTTACATAACTTCCCATGCCAACCAGGATCGCATATGCATGTGTTGTTTAGCTGGCAAGTTCCATGTTTACATGATCTTGAACATAGCCATCGTTGCGATAAATGTCTGCCAATTTCGCAATGTTTCCCAGAGAAACCTTCTGGACACTGACATATATTTTCTCCTTTGCATTTGCCACCATTGAGACATGGAATCACGCATCTTGCTAACAAAAAGAGAATCAGCACAATGTTATTATTTTACATCACAATATAAAATACTTTAAAATATATGTTGTTTATACTCACATAATTCACAATGCAGCCCCAAATAGCCTTTTGGACATTTGCAAATATTTTTTTTAATGCATTTTCCTCCATTTTCACATCTTGGTGAACACAAACCTTCAACGAAAATTGTTCAATATGTCAATTATAGCAGCAAAGAAACTTTTTTTTTTAAATCTCTTTTTCAATCTTTATAGAAAGATGCTACAGATCAAAGTATTGGGAGTACGATTAGCCAGCACATCAGCAGCTACAAATGCATGTGGAAAAGTGTTGGATTCGATAATAAGAGTCGATCATGCTGGAGAGTTGGGGGCTGATAGAATCTATGCCGGACAAATGGCTGTGCTAGGTAATAATCGTTCGACAGTGAACTATGAATTAAAGCTAGCAAATGTCATTTAGTCTGATAATTTAATGTGAAAATATAGGCAAAACACCAGTCGGACCGACTATACAATGTATGTGGGATCAAGAAAAACGACATCGCGCCAAATTTGAAGAGTTCATTTGCAAGTATCGCGTCAGACCAACCGTTCTCATCCCTTTGTGGAACGTTGTTGGCTTCGCTCTAGGCGCCGGTACTGCCTTTATGGGCGAGAAAGCGGCCATGGCGTGCACCGTAGCTGTAGAGACCGTGATTGTCGAGCACTATAACGACCAGCTGCGCATGTTGATGGAAAACGAAAATGTAGACGATGAGATACTTGAAACTATCAAAAAGTTTCGCGATGAGGAACAAGAACATTACGATACAGGCATTGATCACGGCGCCGAACAAGCGCCGTTTTACCAGGCTCTAACGAACGTAATCAAATTTGGCTGTAAGACGGCTATATCTATTTCTAAGGTGATATGATTGCCTATGATTGAAAGTCGTAGCTTATAAAAATATTAAAAAATCGCGTAAGTTATGTATAGAAAAATGTAGAAAGATAATAAAAATCTATTTAATAGTACAAAGTTTAGATTTGTATCAGTACTTTAAAACAAAGTATAGAAAACGGATAAAAATTTGAAAATTGTTAACCTCCTTCGCAATATGGGCCTTGATATCCTGTCGGGCACGAGCAGACGCCTGGCGCAGTACAATTTCCTCCGTTTAAACAACTTGGATAACACAATGCTTTTTTACAATGAGGTGGTCCTAGATAGCCGTCTGGACACGGACCAGAATTAGGCTCTGCAAAAAGTAAGAGTTAAGTTAAAAGAAAGCGCACTATTTTTACAATATGTTGTAGATATATACATTAAGTGTATTTACACACACACGCACACGCACGCGATGAGCATCGTACTCCGTTATCTAAATTGAAGCATCAAAAGAATTGTATGTTACACGGATCACTATTTACTTATTTTTTCTTGAAATTTGTTTGACTTAACCAGTCACTTAGATCACATGTGCTGACTTTTTGTTTCATAGGAAATAAAATTTAAGTTTTTTTAAAATAATAAAGAAATCTAAATTTTAAAGTAATAAAGAAATTAAGAGAATGGATAATTGACAAATGCGCAAGGATTAAGAGAAAAAGAGAGAGAGAGAGAGAGAGAGAGACAGAGAAAGAAAGATATGAGGACAACGTCAAATATATAAAGACGAGCACGTTTTTTTCGTATTAAAGTAGACAATTAGATATTTAATACACAATTTGTGTGTAAGCAAACAATGACTCAAGAAGGCAGAACATTTGGCTGTTTAACAAAAATTAAGAACGGATGCTAGAAGAAAACATAAGCACGCAAAACGAAAATAATGATTTAGAGTAATCTTTTGTAAGTGAAGAATGTTAGTCAAATCAAAAAGTACTAAAAACACTTAATCTTTTTTAAGTGTGAAACGTATCTAAAATATACCATTAGCAATATGTTTGCGTTATTTAATATGTGTAGTAGAAATGTGATAAATAACTAAGAGATAGCATTAATAGAATCTAGCTTTGAGAATGACTCATGCCTTTTTCATTACGCACAGAGAGAGAACAGACATACATACACTGATAAAAGGGATATTTTCATTACAAAGGAAAAGCTTTACAAAAGCAGTTTGCATCTTGTAAACGACAATGGATCTGTCACATGTAAGTATATTAAAGATTTTTGCAGAAAATGCGAGCTAAAAACTAATTAATTTTTTTTTTTTTTTTCACGCAGCATTTCAAAGGCTGAAAAACTAAGAATGTCTTCACAATGGTCCTCCTCAAACCACAAAGCAGCTTCTTAACGACTTAACATCCGTGAACTTCCAAACATCCCACGAAACAGCGATTCGACACGCCATCACATGATTTATCGGACCCTTCGCTTTGTCGAATAATCTTTTTTGCTTTGCCAGGGTCTTTCCTTACAAAATATCAAAATGAGTTCTCACGACGGGTACATGCCATGACTGTCGATTAAATAAAAAATTTAAAAAAAAAAAAAAAAAAAAGAAGAAGGAAAGCAATCGGTACGTGAACTCGGAAACTAGGTTTTATACGAGCGTTGTTACGTTTTCCGTCAACAATTTGGAACGACTTGTGTGTATCAATATGAAGAAAATAATTTTCCTTATGGACCATGTACGAAAGCTAGTTATCTGTCGCATTATTCTCGTGGCGGTACGATACCGTCGATAGGAGACCAAGATTCCGATTGCCTTTCTCGTGCTAAATCAAGAGCATGCAGCACAAATCAGGCGATGAATTACTGCTGATACAGAACTGTATATGTGAGTGAAGATGTGTTGATCGTGGGCGCGACTGACGGACTCACCGCGCGCGGTGCATTCTTTTCGCAAGTTTAACTCGATCGGTGTACGTTCGAGGGGTTTTCTTTTCCGCGTTTCGATCATCAAAGCGATCCCAAATTCCGCTATTCCTGAATTGCCTGTGCAAGGTAGCAGAATGCTAAATTCTGTAACGTAAAAGCACACATAAGATCATTACCATCGCGTGTGTCGACACGTCACAATCGCCAATCCCTCGTAGTACATCGTATGTATACGATTCATTATATAGTATAAACATTTATTTGATTGTTTTTCATTTTAGGAAAGGAATATTTATAGTAATAAAAACGACATAAATTGGACTAATATTTAAGCAAACGCGCGCGCGTACACACACACAATCTGGTTTTTTGAATTTAATATTGTAACTCATTGAGAAAAGATGAAATCAATGCAACTTTATTGATTGGAATTAAAATTTTACGCTGCGTAGAAAGATATCTTTCCAACGTTTCACATATTGATTATATATACTTTTATATATTAAATTATTCTTAAAAAGATATACATGAAAGTTTTTACCTTTTGGTTGTTTAGGCACTCGACCTTCTTTTTTGATTGTTATCGTCGGAGTTTTTAAAATAGTCTCGTCGTACGATTTTAAACGAAAAAAGTTGTAAAAATATTTCTTTGCTCCTGATTTCCAAGTGAAATTGACATGTGATACCTCATTAGGAATTATGGGCAACTTATTCTCCAATTCCGGATCGAGAAGATGCTCTAGTACTCTACCATTTGAGATGACGTATATCTCCAAATCCAGACCTATGTTAGGCATCATGTAAACGGAAGGGGGTAACTTCAGAGCACCCCGGACAACCAAATCTGTTGAAACAATTTTGGAACAATTTTGAAACAATTTTGTGCACGGAATGCTAGCAGAAATCAGACAGAATTTGTCAACGATGTAACACAACGGATTAACGGTACCAAAACCGACCAGGATCTGCCGTTTCATTTAAATACATTGAAATATAAAATGAAATAATACGACAGATCTTACTCAATCTCCGCTGTTAATCCGCTGTCAAGTATCTCGGTTAAATTACGAGCATAACGCAAACACAGTTGATGCCGTATCTGCCAGACTAATCTGCTTTAGTTTGCCGGGACATGTTGATGTTTGCCAATCTTGTCACTGTCAGTGATCGTCAGTGTGCTAAACATTTTGCCAATGATTGTAAAGATCAACATTTTGCTTGTGCCGGGACATTAATGTTTTGACTAATCTTATCAGTGATTTTATTCTACCGGAGAATGTTTTTATTTGTTGTTTGCTTATCCACATTGAAAGATCGTCAGACGGCCTCGGGCCGGCACTCCCCGAGCGATGCTGATGCCGGGTGTGCGTCCCGTCCAGGAACAGGATCAGCGCCGCCGCCGTCGCGACTAGAACGACCGGAATCGAATGCATAATAATTGTCTGCCAATGTGCCACCGTTTAGTACAGCAGCCGCCAGGTGTTGCGCGCACACTACCGAGCGAGAAACTCGTCTATTTTTTCGTGTTAAAGAGGTTTCTTGAAAACGTAAATGCAATACGGGACGTTTCAGCCGCTTCTGAGTTCAACGTGCGACGTGCACGTGCAATGTGATTCAACACGCAAAATCGGGAATTTCACGGCACGTTGTACGTCTAAGTCGCGCGTCTCCTACGGGAGTTCCGGCGTGAAGAGGAAGAAGAGGAATGATGCACACGAGAGAGTAAAGAAACGAGATATCCTTGTGGAGATCCCGCGGTGATTTCAACGAGTAGTTATCTACTTCTTCGATCGGTAAAACAGAAAACGGATACAAGGACTAAAATTCACACTTTTGTTTCGCAAATAACGCACTATATACACATTTTTGTGAATCGCGTCGCTTCGACTGACTGACTTTCAACGAGAATTGAGAGTGGCCGAATGGCGAGACCTCTCTTCAGGAAGCAACAAAGAAATTGCGCGAACAAGCGCGGAGCATACCAGAGCGAGAGGTCTGGAATAAGGTCGCATGCACAACAAAATGCAAATATCCAATAAACATAACGATCATATAAATATACATATATATCGTTTAAATTCTTATAATTTAAATTTTATTTAGTTTTCTCATCTTTTTAGAATTAATTTTAAATTAATTAAGTAGTTTTTAATTAAAAATGAATTAAATTATTTAAATCTTGTTTGTCTTATATTTATCACTGTAGCGGTTGACGATACTATTGTAAAGTTCGTAATTTACGTTTCATTTGTGTATGTAATTTATATTATGAACATTTGCGATGAATTTTCGCGAGAGGCGAAAAATTTCATCGTTTTCTCGATATTCTGATAACAAAGTGCACTTATTGATAATCGGAAAAATCATTTGGATCAGATCTATTTCCAGCATGCCACGGAAACAAGCACACAGACTGTGATTTTTACGTCCAACTTTAAAATATTTTAAACTCGATGGAATAGTCGATAATAGAATTTGTTATTGCTTAGTATCGATAGACGAGTTACCTAATAAAAGCAGTTTTGCGCGACTCTTACCAAAGAGTGGAGAAAAGGCGTTGGAATAAAGGGAATGTATATATACATACTGTATAACACAGTGTGATTCCGATTACGATTCTCTTGTTCTTCGTCGATTTCTGCGCCAATGGAAAGAAAAAGACAGAAATTAGAAACTTAGAGTAATCCGAATAGAAGATCAAGAGCTCATAGGTAAAAAAAACTCGTCTGATATATAATCCTATTATCGATCACATTAATTAAATTTTATATTTAGTTGGTAGGATACTGAATCACTGTTCTTAAAAAAATAAAACTGTTCTCGAACAAATCTTGATAAATAAGAACAAATTGTTTCTTTTACAGATTTCTTTTCGTTTATTTTTTTTTTTTTATTGACAATAGGAGTTATGGAAACAAATATCAGGATGAGCATTAATGCGATTGTTTGTGAAAATGAATAATTTAAAGATTTATATATATATATATATATATATGTATATGTACAATATAACATAAAATATATATATATATATATATATATATATATGTATGTATGTATATACATATATAATTAGTCGCGATTAATTATTCTATAGTGATTAGATTTTAGTACTCGCTGTTTAACGAGAAATGTGAAAAATCTACACAAGGTGATCCATCTGATCGCGCGATAACTCAACAGTTACAACTGCGTGAGAATGAAGAAATATTTGCGATAAAAATTAGGCCTTTCGTGCCTTGTTCTGTAACGAGTTCAAATTATGATTCAAAGCGAATGGAACACCCCGCGTATTTACTTGTGTTTCTAAACTTTGCGGTTTTTTTCACACTCTTTTTTCGTAAAAAAATTATTTAAAAATATGACGCTGACGCAAGAATGCGCGTTCTTTCTCTTTCTTTCTATAGCTGCAGTGTAATATAAATGGCGAAAAGAATATCGACAGGCAGAACATCGATAATATTAAGAGATAACATACAATAGAATATTCGCACGGTAAAGCGAACACACATTGAACGAAGTATTATTTAATGAGTCATCTCGTCTGTGTACTCTTTTTATAGCAATCGTAATAAATCAATAAATATCAAAATCGGTAAGTTCAGAGATTATAATAAGCTTGTTGGTATTGTTTGCATTTTACTTCGTTTTTCTTTCTTCACCTAACTATGAATGCATCTGTTTTATTCTAAATGCAAAAATTACAAAAAAGCATAAGCAACACGAACAGACTTTGTATATGTAGCATATTTATCAAAAAAAATCTACTGCTATCTTTGTCTCTTACTTATTATTTAAAAATAGCGTATAATATTATAATGGACGAAGTGTGCGCGATCGATTAAGTTAATAGATTAAACACCTCATATACTAAGAAATTATTGAGATTCAAAAAAGAAAAATTTGCTATAAAAAGTGTCAAGACTTTTTGCATTTTTGGAAACATCATCACGTTGTACGATTAATAATAAGTCACAAATCGTCTTTTTTCGTGATTGCAACCTAATATCAAGCAGTGTACATGGTATTAGATATTTTTTCGTCGAGATGATAGAAATGCTTCAAGAATTCAGTCGAAAAACAACTGCCGCAAAATAAACACCTTTATTATTATTTAGATATTATCGTGTAATAAACCGCAAGTAATTCTTTTTACACAAAGTATAAAATTATAAAAGACTACAAAAAAGAACATTGCAACAGTATAAGAAAATACGACGATATGAACTGCAAAAGTACTGGAAGTTTTTGTGTGTAAATATATAACATTAAATCTTAACGTGTTCAACCGATGATTCAACGTGCAGGATGAAATTAATCTCGCTATATCTCGCTAAATATTGTAGCTAGCATAATAGAAAAATACTCTAAAAATGTAAACGCACTCGTGTTTGTGTATATGTGACTTGGACATCGAGATTTTTATCGAAACAGCAGCTACTTGCAATATTAATTTAGTCATTATTTTCTGGTAATTATACGCAAAAATATATAATTACGGTTTCATTAGTTGATATAAGAGTAAAAACTTATATTAGTTGATTTGAATGGCAATATCAGATTGTTCCAAAAATACTCAAATGATATATATTTTTCCGCAATATTAACATTCAGTAAAATGTTTTACAAAAAAATTCCGTGGATTTTTATACACACATATGTATATATATAATACACCAATATAATAAACCAATATAATGGGAACAATTTTCATAAATAAACAATTGATGTTTGTTTATCTCGTAGTTTTTAGCATTACAACCGCTTAGTGAAAGTTACATTCAAATTGATTTCAATGTCAATGTATAACATTATATAAAAGATGCTAATATAAAAACGCTTATTAGTAGTTACTGCGACAAGTTCACATCACTTACATAAGTATAAAGAAGTCTTTTAATTCAATCACGTGACGTCCAAGTCACTTGTACAGGATGTTCGGCAAAAAAGACCCTAACAAATATCTTTCAATCACGTTAGTAAATACTTCACCCGATTATTATTTCTTACAAGAAAATTCTTCATAAAGAAAGATTGTGAACTATAATTCTGTATCCATCTGATCAAGTATAAGATATCTTATTATCATTTAAAAAGTATTATACTTCGTGCGTACATTGTAATTATTATACATTTTGTACCTATCTTTGTTTTCTCTTTGTACCTGACATATTTGCTCGCGACACTTTTGCAGACAACCTGTACAGCGCATTTTGACTACCTTAAATTTAACGGATTTTCTGAACAAATTGTACAAATTGTACTTAAAGATCTAAACAAATGTTAACATCTCGTACACTAAGTAATAATAATAATAATTATAGTTGCTCTACTATAATCGTCGCGTTCTTCCTAAGAATTATTCACTATAAAATTATAACTTATAAAGAGTATATTTAATACATATACATACATATGTGTATACATATATATATCTACATATTAAATTATATATATATATATAATTTTTTTTATACTTATTAGATTAAAATAAAAATTACCAAAAAAAGCAAATTAAAACCTTTTATAAAAATAAAAAAAGATTTCATTAAAGCATGTTTCACGTACAAAAGCAACAATTACTTAGAGGCCTTGCAAGTTTTTGTGTTATCTACTATAGTGCACATATACAATCTTGTTTTTTTATATATATTGTTATTTTATATATATATATATATATTTCTTTCTTTCTCTCTCTCTCTCTCTCTCTCTCTTTCTCTCCCCGTCAATATCTTTTGTTTTTGCACATTTCTTATTCGCGCATATACACGTCCCACACAAATATATATGTGTTTGTTAATGAAAATGTAAGTGCATGATATAATTGTGGACTATTATTTTTCCACTTATACAGATTTGGCCTTCTTTCGGCAGAGTAAAAAATCGCGGCTAAAGATTCTTAAAGAACAATCGTACCACATTAGAAAATTAATGTTAAAATCAGTCGAAGCCAGATTGCGACACTGTTTCTACATAGACTTAATTATTTTCAAGATTGCATGTAACTAATACAATTTTCTTACAACCGGCCATTTACTAACATCTTGTGCGTTCTTGGTCCAACTAAACATCGTATTACAATTTTGACAACTTTGTTACAAAAAATATATTATATAAGACCTACATCTCTCTAATTTTAATGATAGAAATGATAAGGCAAATTATGCAAAATAGTAAAATAATCTTATAAATAACTTTTAATTCCACAATATTGTTTAACTAAACCAACGATAATTTTAATTACTACAAATACACATCTTATTTAAAGTTATACAGTAGAGCAAAAGTATATTTTCATAAATTATAGGCACTAAAATGTAACATATTTTAGATAAATATTAATATAGTTACTCACAAAAAACAAATGCAACGTAAAAATTAACGCGCGCGCATTTATGTTGTAAGATATATAATATGCTATAATATATATATGTATATAGAAAATACTACACAGCATATGTAGAATATATTACATGCAGTCTTAAAAATACTTATGTGTCACAAATTTGGAATAACCAAATGCAGTTCTCGCCACTCGAAGTGTCTTGCTCAACCTGGCTCTGTCAAGTAATTACGATCAATGCTAGAATAGTTTCTACGGTACTATTTCCATAAATAGCTTGCACGCTATGAAACATTTATAGTTTTTGGGTTTTATAATTACAATAGAGAGCTTGACGCACAGTGAGCATTCTCTTTATAGTGAAATAAATATATAAAAAGAACAAATAACAAAAACAGATTTTTCATGTGCTACTTCTTAATATTCGTCAAGTAAAAAAAAACAAAACAAAAATGTTAATGATGTTTCAGAAAATAAAAATCATTTTCAATTCATTATTCAATTATTACACATCGGAAATTTACAGTGTCCTGTAATGTAAAAAAAAGAGAAAAGAAAAAACCAGTTTCTCCAAAAAGTATAAAACCCAAAACCAGAGATTCTAATTGGCAGTATAGTGTTAGACGTTGCGCCCAGCGCAAGGTGCATAGCAGAGCTGCTGCAAGTAGGCAAATAGGATCGAGAGATCCTTAAGCCTAACAAGAGGACATTTTTTTATGTGGCTTTGATTAAGAAAGTTGCAGATGTTACACGTACGTGGCCATAGTACCAGTTGGAATAGGTGGTGTTTCTTCTGGTCTACCTTTAGGTCCATATTGCCCTATGAAGGATCCATCTTCCGTGAAGCGTCCTGAAACCAATTCCAAAAGATTAGAGCATAAGATCATAAGATTTTATCGCATTACTATACAAAAAGCAAATATATAGAGAAAATACAATAATTATATATTGCTTGTGTGCATATTGTGATATGATGCAACATTAATTTACACATGTGCATGCAATGTTATGCAACGTAATAACATGTTAATTTCAAAACTTTCAAAATTCAGATATAATTATTAAAAAGATATCTAGTAGACTTACCTTAGACTAGAGTAGCAAATGCGTGCGAATTTGGTTCTTGCTTAGGGTGTCGGCCATATTGATAAATAAAAGAACCATCCTCGTTCATGCCCTCTGTATTGAATCAAGCAATGAAGCAAATAAAAACGTATAACAAAATACGCAGCAAATTCAAAATAAAATAATAATGGATCAAGCAAAAATATAAATGTTATTTAAATGATAAATAACTATAACTATATACTAACTATAACTGATTTATGCAATTGTGACTGATGTGTGCCATGTATAAAAAAACCTGAGCGTTCATAAGAAAGATTTTAATATGTGTGATATTTTTAATTGTTTCTACATTGAAACTTGAAAATTGCATACATGCTTTTTGTAAAAAGTCTTGATCAAACCATGTATAATATACATTGAAATAATAACACAGTAAGTTGTGTAATATAAAAGTAAAAGCTATCTCATTATCTTTTAATAATACATATGAGAAATGTTATTGCAAAACCAGCAAACTCTACTCGCATTAATTTTGAGAACAAAAAACTGTTCTGAACATATATGACGGTGCATCGAAAAATTCTTTTTTCACATCAATTCTTGTACATATAATTCTGTAAAATTTGGAGTCTATATTACATATGTAGACCGAATAATTAGCAAAAATTATTTTGCAGTAAATAGAAGAATATTTGTAAAAAAAAAGTAAATACCTATGCAAAATCAAATGTAAAATTTTAATAGAAAAAAAGTATTCTGACATGAAAATATGAGATTGTCTTTTATAGGAGCAAATCAGAAACTTCAAGATGCACTAAACTGTATTAAAGTTGTGTAAAAGTAATTGAGGCAAAGTCTATTCAATCGCAATTCAGTATAGCCTTAGTGCAGTCGAAAAACAATAAATCTTTTATGTCTATTGGTTAAAATAGAGATTGAAAGACTGTTTTTTGCAACGTATGAACCGATAAAGTTTGCTGGCGATTATCCATTTTCAATTGTTAATTTATAGAATTCTGCTGTTATTTTAAGAGTATGTATATTAATCACCGTGTAAATTAGAGAGTAAACTACACGTAGAATACAATAACTCAAAAATTATGAAAAATGGAGATTAATCGCTTTGCAATGACACTGCATATACAAATGTATCTTTCAGATCATGTATCGTAATATGTAATACATAAGTGAAAAACTCGTGCAGTTTTTAATACGCTAGCCATATTTTGAACGATATTCTTACTCAAGTTGAATAAAATGCTGAACCTATTACCAACCTGTATCCCCGTCACCGTACTCCGCCATAGAATCGGTATCAGATTCAGGGTGTTTACTATCCTGGTGAGATGACGATGCTAAAGACGCGCGTCCGCCAGCTGATTTGGTGTCTAATGGTTGTGAATACTCATGAAATCCACCTTCGTCAGGATAATCAGCACGTCCGGCAGCCAGTTCTCGCTCATGTACCGCGTACTTTCCACCTCTATTTCGCTTAATAACGCAAACAACTATCAGTATCAAGAGAAGAATAGCGATTGCTAGCATCATTCCTATGGAAAGGAGTAAAAGCATTTGTTGAAATGTAAATGGTCGTCACAACATAAAATACAAATATTTAATATCCACAAAAACAATTATACCTATAAACCAGCCGGCTGTCGCGACATTTTCCTTCGGCTGTATAATGGGTCCCTCACTACTCGTCTCTACTTCTTGAGAAGCGCTCTCGGTCATATAATCTCCATCAACCGCAACAACCGACATCACATAGACTTCACCACTTTGAAGACCACGAATCTCAATAGTATCCAATTGGAACTCAGGATCCGACAATGTAGATATTGTTTCTCCTCTGAGCTTGTACTTGACGAAAAAGTGACTTCCAGGAATGCCGTTTAAATTCGGTAGCCAAATAACTTTCACGTTTGAATATCCATTCTCCACTGATACGGTTTCCCATGTAAATTGTGGAATATCGGGCCGCTGAGAAGTTCGCGTCTTTTGTTCAATAAAGAAGCTGTGAATATATTAAAATGATAAAAAAAAACATGCCAATTATTACAAAATAATAGCACATGTTATAACATGATCATATGTTCATGTAGTACTTACTCGTCACCTTCACCAACTTTGGTTGTTGCACGTACGTGAACACGATATTTTGTATCAGGAGCTAACGCCGCTAATTTGGCACTTGTAGCTCCTGGATCTGTAATCTGCGGCTTCCTTTCCAACAAAGGCTCCAATTTTGTGCCGTTCACGATCCGATAGTAAATCCTATATCCGGTTAGAACACCGTTGGGTTCTGCAGGCCGCGTCCACACAAGGAACAGAGCACTAGATCCCATTGGAAATGCTTCTAAACTAAGTACTGGTCCTGGGATACCTTCCGGTGTATCAAAGCTCAAAATTTCAGATGCCGGACCGTCGTGTCTGCACGATAGATAATGCAACATGTGCAATAGTAAAAAAAACACTCACAATGTCTGATAATAATTGAATCTCTCGTGGGAAGATAGAGCGGGTTGTACTAAAAGTTGTTTATTATTTTGCGAGTTTCGCAATATTTGAATAATTAGTAATTTATAAAGATCCACAAATGAGCGTGCATCCACGTAACGAGACAGACGTTTCGTGCGCTTACAGTTGCTAGGTATACGGCGACCAATATAAGAGCATTGTTTTACAATTATAACAAATTAATTAAAAATCAAACTCCTTTGATTGTATCGCCGCGCGTTTAGCAACCGTGAACGCGCTGGACTGTCTCTTCACGTGAACGCACACTCATTTTTGCGACTTTTATAAATTAATAACTCAGTAATTATTGCAAAATAGTAAAGAACTTTTGACTCAGTACAACTCAGGACATATTCGAGATGTTATTATTACCTGCCATTATAAGCGAGTATCTTCACAAAATTCTTGCTGTATGGGACAAACTTAGTAATTAAAGCGTGTGTCTTGTTTCCACCGCGAACATCAATTTCACGCATTCCTCTCTCGCCATCCTTCTCTGTCCAAGTCTGAATTTTATATCCTTGAAGTTCACCCCTCACCGTATCTTCAGGTACCGGACTCCAGGACAGCAAAGCTGTTGTACTCGAGTTTACGTTTTTCAAAGTAAAATTGCCAGGTGCTTGTAGGGGAACTGAAATGGCAATTATAAACATTTTATGATGTAGATTAATATCGTGCCTCTAATAAGTCTAATATTGACAATCTTAATTATAGTTTTGATAATAAAATAATATTTTATCAGTGGATTACCGTCTTCTCCGGAATATCCGATAATCTCTTCCGCTGGAGTTCTACTCTCTCCTTTTTCGTTTATCGCTACAACTTTGATCTTATAACGCTGATAAGTAGGTTGGTTATCTACCACTAAGCTGTTTTTCTTCCAGTCGTTTATGTCTTGTATAATCCAATTATCACCGGGTATATCCCTCTTATAATACACTCTATACATGAATCTAGGAGCATTATGTTCTATTTGTGGCATGGTCGTCCAGGAAATAACCAAATTTTGCGGCGTAGTGCCATTGCCTCTAACATTGTCCGGATTTTTATAAGGAACATCCGGTAAAGTGGAGCAAACATCGCTGTGTGGTGACGGCAGAGACGGGCCTGTACAACAAAATGATACAAAACATATACATCAAGTTTTATTTACACCTATTAAATTTATATCTTAAAATTTTTAACTTTAAGTGTTTTTTCTATTTTCAAAAACGTTAAGATTTTTTACCTATTTTATTCCATGCGATAACGCGGAACGTATAATTAGCCCAAGGTGTCATAGGCACTGTAAATGCCTGGTCAGTAGATGAAACAAAATCTTTAGATATCTCCCAAACGTCTGGTGTGAAGCTGGTATTGTGCTGGATAGTGTAGCGTAGAATGGGAGCCCTGTTATCTCCCATGGGTATCCACCGAACAAAAGCATCATTTGACAAACAGTTGACGCCGACCAATCTAGGCGCATTTGGTACATCCTGTACTATCAGTGTTGCTTGTGCTTTCGCGCTATCCAAGTCGGTGTGTGCGACACATGTGTAAGTACCAGAATCAAGTTCAGTCGTCTTTGTGATCATTAGAGAATAATCGGAACTTTTTACAAATCTCGGTTCCATTTCAAAATCTATTGATTCGCCATTGGCTAGCCACTCTATGGTCAGTGGTAAACTGGGATCAGCGACAGCGTTGCATCTAGAACGTAAAAATCAAGTTTCGAAAAAGTCCTAGTTTATATAAATTGAAATTAATATAAATTTATTTTTTATTCTATATATATTAAAATTGCAATTCCGTTTTATAAATTATTATTTACCTAAATGTGGCAGTAGAACCCGCTGCGACTTCGTAATCTTCTGGCTCGTCCGTTATCCTGGTGTGCTCTTTTACCACCAATTCGGCGGATGCATCAATCTCGCCCAACTTATTGGAAGCGTGACAGGTGTAAACACCCGCATCCGAGAAAATTACATTTTCGATCTCCAAATCGCCAGTGTCCAAAGTCTTGTAACGACCGCCAGTTAGTTCCTGTCCATTTTTAATCCATTTTACTTCGGGTTTAGGCGCACCGAAAACGCGGCATGTAATTCGCACAGGTCTGCCATCGACCGTGCTCATGTCCGTAGGTGGTTGCGTGATGTCCGGCTCCAAAGCCAACACGTTGATATACACATCTTTGTAAACATATCCCAATGAATTGGTAGCGTTGCATCCGTAGTTTCCTGTATCTGTTTTCACCAGCTTTTCAATGATGATGGAATTCGACGTAACTTTCCTTCTGCTATTCGGTGGTGCCTTAGATATTGGCTTGCCGTTGTGAATCCACTTAATCTCAGGAACGGGCACTCCACTGGCTTCGCATCTGATCTCCACAGTTTCGTCTTCTGCAGCGTTCACAAATTCCGGCTCGATGGTGAAATACGGCACCGCCATTACTTGCAGATTTATGGAATACGATTGAGCTGTTCCTACTCCATTCGATGCTTCGCAAGTATACGTTCCCTCGTCCTCGAAATTAACATGTTTTATGATGAGAGATTTACCGTAATTTCCTTGAGTTATTTTCTCAGACGGCAAAATTGAGTGGCCGTTTTTACTCCAAACGATCTGTGGCAAAGGTGTTCCTCCGAATATGCAATACAGCTCTACCTTCTTGCCGCGCAGAGCAACTTCATTTTTTCTGGTTACGTATTGTCTCGCGGGAGGATGTTTATTTTGACCGGTAGACGCGCCAGTAGAAAGTACATGTAGCAAAACTTTATTGCCTAATTTGTATTCGTTTCTGAACACAGATGTGGCAGCACAGGCGTAGTAAAAATCATCCGAAGCATCATTTTTTGTGACATTACTGAACCAGAGATTTCCTTCCGGATCCAGAGTCATTCTTGAATTATTGATTGACTTGATACCACCAGCGATATCCTGAATCAGCCAATAAACGTTTGGCTTAGGCCAACCATCAGGCGGATGGCAGGTAAGTTTGAACGGAGATCCTTCGGTCGCATCCACAGTCACCGGAGTTTCGTCCTTGAACGAATTTAATTCGGCTTTTCGAACGAACACCGAATTCGATGTAGCTATCCCCCACTCATTCTCGGCAAAACATTGATACTGTCCTAAATCTTCGTCTCTCGGTCTTGAGATCACCAAGGTGCCTCTACCAGGCTGTTGAGAGATGCGATCATCATACGCCGGCCACTCGAATTTTTTGCCATTTTTAATCCAATGATACCTACATAATATATTCGTATCATATTTTCACGTAAAAAATCAAAGTTCTTATATACACAACATCAAAAAGAAATAATACAAATTAAATGTTTACAATATAATAGAAAATGTTATACATAATGTTCAAGTATTTGTGAATTTCTCCTTAAATTTATTTTATCTTTATAAGATTTACTAAATACACACAAGCTTCGTCCGTATCTCTACAAGTACATTTATGTAACTCAAATGTATTAGTGATGACTACTTCATACATCTTAAAGTTATGAGATCATCCTTGTAATTAAGGCTGACCGGTTACATTTTGCTGCTCTACAGTACATAAGATGAACAGCTTGATGTAAAGTGCAATGAGATTTCAGGAATGAGATATCGCGAAAGTACGTTTTCCGTTCTTGCAAGCAACTTAAAGAATAGTGTCAAGAAACATAATTTACATAAGCTAGCTATTTTCTTGATAGCACATTATTCAACAATGTCAGAAGATTTCGTACATATATGTAATATTTGTGTGTTACATGTATAAGAAAAATTAAACAAATAAAACCACAGAAAAACAGATACTTACTTTGGAGCTGGTTCTCCTTCTGCTTCGCATTCAATTAAAAATGGTTTATCATTCTCATTGATCTTTGCTTGACTAACTTGAAATAATTGCTCATCTGTTGGTGGTTGCTTAGATATCCGCGGTGGTGATTGAACTAATAAATAAAAAGTATATTAAATCTAAAGTAAAAATGCCACTAAAATAAAGTTCACAACAGAGGATGTGTACATATACAAATATATAAAAAATATATGTATAAGCTCATGTCAAAACAGAAACATAAATACACAAAAGCATTCCAACATAAAAAGTTTATAGAAAAATACTTTGTGTGACTAAACATTATTTAACAAAAAATGAAATTATAACATAGTTTTTATAATTCTAATTTTCATCTTCTACATTATATTCAAGATACGTATTATAATTTAAAATTAATTTAAAAGTTTTAATTAATATTTTAATGGCAAAGCTATTTTATCTAACACAAAACTCATAAGTATTAACATTAAAGGAAACTATATTTAAAAACATATTAAAAAAAAAAAATTATTTGTACTTACTTATAGCCGATGTACCAAGTATCAGTACAAGAACAATACACACGATGGGTCTCATGTTTATTTCGTATGTTGGTAAGTTCAGAAAGCTAAAACAGCAATTCTGCTATCACAAATATATTAAAATTACTACAGGTAATAATGTGTCCTATTAAATATATTTTAAGTTATTATATGACAATATCAGTTAAAAATACAGAATAACCTGTAATGATAATGGTATAATCGGGAAGAAATCGATCTCTCTAGAAAACAATTAATCAAAAATGAAATAGAATATAAATTTTTTTATATGAAGCTGTTTCCTCAAAAACAGAGTTTTACACATAAAGTATCTTTATTTTACGCTTTTGACTTTCAATCAATTTACTTTTTCAAAAAGAATCTTTCCTTCAATCCTTTCCGATTCATGATTTTACTGGGTAAAATTATCCTGTATATTTTATATATCTACAGTCTTCCATACCATATATATGGAACAGAATGAATCAGTATAATCTACTGATTCTCGGTGGAAGACTTATAACTATCGGAATCAGTAAATATTTACTGATTTTCAGTGCAATGCACTGATTCTACTTAAGAGAGTACAAGCCTATGATTTTATCTACAAATAATAATATTGAAAACTTTATCTGATTCATTAATCTAGAAGTGTTAACAGACAAAGATATATTTTAAAAGGAAAACGTTGTTACGTTTTTTGGCAAAGTTAAAAATACAAACAAATTTACTTTCTTTGCAATAAATAAAATATTGTCAAAATTGCCATTTTTCGACATCTTTCATTATCTTAAAATTCTAACGTTGTGAGAGAGGAAAATTCTTAAATCACAGATTTGAATTTAGTTAAAAAACATCAAAAATCAATCAGAATCATTTGTTTTCACTAAGAATTTTTGAATAAAAGTACTAGATTCGTTGCTCATTCTAATTTATTAGTATATCGCGCTTGCCTTTGCGATAAATGTACATAAACGTGTGTACATACATAAGTACACAAAACGCGCGTGCGCTTAACATAGTCTTCTTAAAGAGTATCTATTGCAAAATCAAAGTTGACCTAATTATCTGAAATTTTCAAATTCGCCAAGATGTTATGAGATGCTGATTGTTAATGGAGACACGAAAAATGGGCGTGTACCCGTCAGAAACAAGATTGACTAAAGAGCAATGTACACATCGCACATATGTGTGTACATACGCACGCACACAAACACACCGTTAACAATCGCTCTGAAATACAAATTTTCATTTTAAAAACGACCGCAGTAACGTAGCGATACATAAAAAAATATATATATATATAACATTAATTCGTCACCGGGATATGGAAATCAAGCTGCGGACTATAACGATGTTGTCACACGATGATCTCACTCCTCGTTTTCACCGCGCGGATTTTGCGGATACGGACGTTTTCGTCTATCAAAACCGTGAGACAGCGATACCCATGAGTTCTGTGAGGAACGCGTCGCTCCGGCGCAAAAAATAACTCACTTTCTGTGACGATATGACGCGATAAACCGAACGAAGGAAAATGCAACGGGAAACCTAAGGTAAAAAGTGGGCACACCCGTAAGAAGCATTGATCGCCGATGCCGTGTCGGTTGTCCCGTTCATGCCTACCCTTCGGTCTTCGTCGTTCCCGTAGCAATAATGATCATAATGATCGAGAAGAATCATGCGATTATAATAAAAGCCATAGATACTTACTGATATTCAATGTTCGCTTGGTGCACAACACCATCAAAAACAGTCGCTATCACCAAGCATCATTGAAAAACTACAGAACCACTGACTCGAATACGTAACTCGTCGTTACGGTACTATCGTGTTGTTGCTGTGCGTGTGGATTCTCGTGTACGTGTGTACATACATGTATAGCGCTAGCTAGCGCGTCGTATATATGCATGTATATACATGTGTCCGCAGTAGTGTCTCCAGATGCGATCTCTTTCGTCTTGCGGAGAAATTAGATAGAAGAGACTCCAAATGTACTGTAGGTAGGTAACTTTTCACTTGTCAGGTTGAAGATTAACATCTTGTCGATAGTATTATTCTTGGATAGATAAAAAATACTTTTAATTGTTATCAATGAGACCGCGATAATATAATAACTATAACATCGATATTATTGATTTTGTATTTTATTATTGCATTCAAAATTAATGTACTCAAATTTCCTTTACACACACATTATGTCTAATAAAATTATGTTGATACATTATGTTAATACATAAAAATAGAATCAGCAAAAATTACTTAATTTTTTAGCTATATATGCAATTTTTATTATGCTGAAAAAAATATATATATAAATTGATATATATAATTGTATATGTATATACATACATACATATATATATATATATATATAAATTTATATATATATTTCTTGTTGCTGTGCAGTCACTTTCACATACGCGTGCGCGCGCACACACACACACACCAACTTTATATAGGGTAATCATACAAATTATATACAATAAAATATATATGATAAAACATTTTATTTTATTCACAGTCATTGTACTATAAGCCTTAGTAAAATAGAAAAAAACTAAAATTTTTGAAAAAAACTCTTGACAAAATAAGATGTGTGTATGACATGATTATGGACACTATATACATCAACTGATGTTTTCACTTTTTGAGAATAAAATACTGCGAATTTGTGTAGTCGCGATCACTTAATTCCTGGTTAATTTGTGCATTATGTAACTGAAAAATTACAAAGATTCTCAAACAACTGTTTCCATGATGTGTGTTTTTATATATGGACGTCTGTTACTATATGTACATTATACAGACATTATAATAAATTCGTTTTTGCAAAATAATTGAATCATTAATTACATTAAACCATTTGATATTGTTCAGGCTCCATTTCATGAATGTGTCGCAGAAAAAACGTAACTTTGACTTGCTCAACGTGTCGACATAGTTTCATAGCTAAACTTGTCCGCAATTTCATATGCTGTGTAAGAGAGGGAAGATTCAACAGCAAAAATGCGAGACCGTCAATTTCCTAAACAAAGATCAAATAAATGATGATATAAATAAAAGTATGGTTCACGTAAGATTTTTACTTATTAAGAAAATTATATAAATATATGTACATATTTAATTACTTACCTCTTCCTTGATGCGATATGCGAGATCTCTGCAGTCATTTGTTTTTCTGAGATACCGAAACACGTCGTCTACACTCCAATATAGCGGATTCGAATCAAGTTTCCGTGTTTTCGGTCGTCTTTGAGTCTTTTGCATTCTCAAGTATTCGGCATCTGCCTCAGAGCAATCGGATTCTATGCTCGTGTCCCATTCTCTTTTAATTCCTCTGGTGATTGCAGAACTCTGACCGAATCTTGTGGAATGTTGCTTTGAATTTAAATTTGAGGGACTGCACAACTCTCTATCTTTTAGCTTTCTATCATTAAACGAACTGCCGGAATCTTCGGAAACATTACTAGATGCAATTTCCATCTTGAAATCTTCTTTATCGGATTTCTCCAAGCCTTTTTGTATCATAATGTCTATTTCTGAAAGCAGTTGTCTTCCTTCGTATGTCTCTTCGACTTGATTCTCTGAAACATGTTTAGCCAAATCTAATGACATAAAGGCCATTTCTTCTTGCTCATATTCCTCATTAGCGTCTTTCTGTTTATTCGCCCATCTACCACGCCTTCTTCTACGCTTTCTACCCCACGGTTTCGATTTTTGTACCATGATACTTGTATATCCTTTTGGCTTTCCTCTCTTACCAGTTCCAACCGTTGCTACAAAAAAGATAAAAATGTTAAATAAGTTCTCTTTGGAGGTAAGCCCTAAAATTAATAAGAACAAAATATATAAAAACACAGATAGCTTTTTCTAAGTGCAATATATAAATTCCCTATGGAAATACATCTACTTACTAAATTTTGTTTTTGATGTTTTATAACATTCGTCTGGACATTCGTTCTCTGATACATACAGAGGACCGAACAAATTTGGGCATACCATTAGTTTTTTACAAACACTTCTACAGAAATCCGCTACCATGTCTCCCGATGTAACAATGGCTACACTTGCGCGATATGTGTTGTTTTTGTGTTTTGCCTTTAAAACCTCTAAGTGATATCCAGGATCTGGCTTGGTATCACATTGCAGAACTTTCAAAATTCTGGCACTTCTATACCCGACGGATACTATCATCGATAAAACTTCTCGCATAACCAACACGACTGGCCCAGGCCCCACTGACTTTGGAAGTGTTGCTAATTTACCTTTTGAGATCATTGGGCCTGTAAAACACCGGTAATTAAAATATATCTTTGGACACCAGAGTGAAGACCGTGGTTCTGAAATTGGTATGTCCAAGAGATTCGCCTTCTTCTCTTCCTTTACAGTTCTTTCTAGTTTTTTGCAGACTTCAATATAATCGTGCGGCGGTTTTAGCGGGTAATGGTTGGATTCACACCATCCAACGGGAAATATTTGCAAGGAATGCATATCGACTATATGATCTGGTCGAGAATAATTGCAATTATCTAATTTTATCCATAAGAGATTATTGACGATCTTAGTTATGTGAGCGGCACAAATTACATGTTTGTCTTTTGAGTCGACAGCTTCTAATCTCATGCCGCATTCAAAACCTGCCTCAACAGCAGCCAAATGTTTGCTAAATAAATTCTCAGGTGCCGCACTAGCATAGAACGCCTCTAAATATTCGTTCCACTCAAATTCTTCAGTCTTTGGAGTCCAACCTTGTGGATTAGTAATCCTAAATAAAAAAAAAGTGCATGTAAAACTATGTTTTAGGTCATTAAGTGAAACTCGACAAATGTATTATAAATACACACACACACAATATTTCGCACAAGTCGAGTTTCACACTCAATAACCCAATATAGTGTGTGCGTGCGCGGGCGTAACATATATACATGAAAAAACGTATATGTGCGACATAATAAAAAGTCTGAAATGTTTCGTATAATTCATACGAGTATATAAATGTGACTTTTACTTACGTAACATTGTGTTTTCGTGCCCATCCAACTGGAAATATGTACGGATGATCTGCAGTACACAACCATGTATTATTTTCAGAGCAACGTGTATCACTTGTAGCCTTGGTATGTGCGTCAATTTTCACAAGAAAATAAGTATCGTCGAATACTTGTGTCACGGTAGCAGGGCACATCTTTGTCCGATCTACCGGATTCAAAGCTTCCATCTTCATTCCCACTTCAAAATTGTGTTTCGGATGATGTATGGTATTATTAAACAATTCCAAATGCTCACAATCTTTTCGTTTGGAATCTATCAAATCTTTCCATTCTTCATATGTGTGCAAATCAACTAGTGAAGAAGGTGGTCCCAAAAACCAAACGGAATTTGATTTGGTTGCAAATCCATATGTATGTAATCGCTCAGATGTACAAAATATCCAGAAATCTTTCGAAGAGGAACCTGGTGTATCATATCTTAATAAAAGACGTCCACCAATATTTTCAATAATCTGGAAAAGATTTGTCTTAGAAATATATGTATACAACTACAGAATACAATCAAGTTTAGATGAGTAAAGTACTAGAACATCAAATCAAAATAGAATTTGCTGCTTTTTGTAGCAAATAATCTTATAGAAATTTATTGATTTGGCCAAAATACTTATTATGAATATTAAAATTATTGTTGAACAAAAAGATATGTTGTTTTTATGCAATTTATATTTCTATATTATATTTTTCAGTTTTATATATAAATGCTCTTAGAATGGTTTACTTTTATATTTTTTCTTACCGTAGCAACCCATAGTTTGTATGGATGTAATGGATCATTTATCTCAACCTTCATTCCTTTCTTAATCTTCTCTGTCATACTTAGACCATCCTGCGTAAAGAAAAAAAGAATTACTATATATATACACACAAGAATTATTATATATGTACATATAAGTATATTATTTATAATTGTATTTTTTAATATGAACAGTGTTTACAACAATGTTAATCTTACTCCTGTTAACATTTCAGCTGGTAGTGTGCGTGCTGTCAATAAGAATTCATCAAGTTTATTTATACAATCTGGTGATTTTTCAAGTATAACATCAGGTGGTTCTAACTTCTTCTTGTTTTTTACACTCCAGCCAAGTTCATGACCAGCTTCTTTTGTAAGATTAAACCAAAATTCTAACGATCTGTCATCGCCACCAAAGTAACGCAACCGTAATAAAGGTCCACAAGCCATGACAATAGAAGCTACCCAATATGATGGTTCCTTCTGATCATTTTTTTGCACTGGCACCTCTAGCGACATACCTATCTCAATGCTATTTTGCAATGTCAACTCCACATGAGGAAACATATGTTGTGGAACTTCTACAGTTGCTGTAGCATCAAGATAATCTTGCCAAACAAATCCATAATCTAAAATATAATTTAACACTATATTTCTCACACACACACACACATAAGTAGTTAAATAATAAATTAATTTTATATATATTATATATATATATATGATACTAATATATTTTTATCTTGAAAGAAATAAAAAAACATTTATAAAAATAAATATAGAAGGAATTATGTTGTTCATATATTATCAATGAATATGTATTGTAAAAACAGAGAAATTTATATTATATAATCAACTAATAGAAGCAATAAAATAAAAAAAAATGTACAACTACAATAATATTTTTTACATATAAAAATGTTATATAAAAATATTAAGTATGAAATAAGTGAAAAAATATAAAATAATAACAATTATATATTTCTCCATATAAAACCAAGTACTTAAAACTTTTTTTATTTAATTTTAATATTATAATGATTAAAAAATTTTTTTTATTAACAAAAATATAACAATTTTTTATAATAAAAATAGCGAATTACTATAATTTTCAACTATAATTCTAGTACACATAATACTACTTTAGATTCAATTATCTTAAAGACAGAAAAAGATCGAGAAACACACCAAATACACGTATAAGAATGAATCTGAAATATATGTATTATACATGTTTTTTATGTCACAAAATCAATATAAACGGGTGTCTTTTATCATTACTATAATTTTAATTTAAAAAAACCTTTGAATCGTACAGAACATACAGTTCGACAAGTTTTTTGTTTAATAAAAATTCATTTACAACACTTGTCTATAATTTAGTTTTACTGAAAACAACAATAATATACTCGAGTTTTAGTACGTAATAAGCATATATGTGCAAGAATTTCAAATTACATCGACGTGATAAAAGTATAAATTTCACATGTAATATACGTTCTACACGTGCAAGTAAAATTTAAAACAAAAAAAAAGAATTGAAAGTTTTACCTCCGTCTTGCGGGTTTTCTTGAGCTTCATTCTCGCTCGCTTCCATAATTTATTTATGTCGACGAGATTTTGCGTACGATATATATATATGTATAAATATAAATATATATATATACATATACACACACACATATATATATATATATATATAATGAGATTAACAGAACTTCCTTCAATGATTACCACATGCTGACGAAATAAATGTAATGAAAATCTACTTCAAAGTGTTGCTATAATCTATCCAAATCTATCGCGAGCAATCGCAAGTGAATAGTATCTTCTCAGAGTTGTGTTATACATGTACAGGACAAAACAGTGAATCTGTTCTTTAGTTGCACCTCTTGTACTTTTTCTATCTTTTCTTTGTTTCTCTCCGCGCATTCTGATATTTAATTATCTATCTATTTCATTTTGAGCAAGTGCAACCGAATGCAACTATATTTATACAAAGAACAAACCTAACTTTGAAGATTATCACAACTCGTGATTCGCGATTAAAGGCCATCACACATAAAATTACTTAAGTCTGTTCTACAATGCAGGGCTGTGTTCAGTTAAGCAAGATGGAACGAACTAATGCAGGAAATGCAGGAAATACAGGAATTCATTAGTTCCAATTCCTGTATTTCCTGCATTTCCTGCATTAGTTCGCTCCATCTTGCTTAACTGAACACAGCCCAGTCGTAAAGAGCCGTCTACAATGGAGAGTTGTAGGCCGTAATAGTAAGAAATTGACCAATCACAGACAAAGTACAGAAGAATAATCGATTGTGATTTGTCAATTTCTTACTGTTACAGTCTAAAACTCTCCATTGTAGACGACCCTTTATGTGTGATGGCCTTTACTACCTTCATTGTAGACTAGCTATAAGGTAGCGGTTAGGGCAATTATAAACCAACCCTTATATTCCATACAATATCTTTACAACGCATACATTTATATATATATGCACATATGCTATCTATATATATATATATGAATATGTGAAACAGTATGTTTGTAATAAAGCCAGTTTGGTAAACACCTATGTAAGAACATGGTCTTAATTTAATGTGAACGTTGCAGGTTAGAAATGTGTCGTTTTCTTTCCGTTTCGCTATAGTTCCGTGCTATAAGACTCCAGTCACCAAACAAAAAACGGAAACGAAATTGAAACGAAATTATTCTGATTGGCTACTCCCTTACCATATCTCTTTTCTGTTTCGTCCCGCTAGTTTTCTCTCCATTGAAATGTATTTTCCTCATCATCGAACGCATGTATACTTAGGCTGCGTTCCGAGTTACGCATATGCGCGCATTTTCTATATTATACGTGACGTGTACTATAGATAAATGCGTAACTCGGAACGCAACCTTAATTTTGGGCGCTTTCCAGCTACGTACACAGATGACACTGTGTAACACAGTGTCCACTAGTGTGAGAAAGAGCATATCAGTGTGTCTCACTCATACTAGTAAACACTGTGTTACACAGCGTCGCTTGTGTACGTAGCTGGAAAGCGCCCTTTGTAATTGTGAGATAATAGGCACACGTGTCTGTCTATTTGTATTGATCTATTTGCACACTTGCAAAGATTTTTAACACAGAAGTGACTTGGAGGGAGGCACTTAAAGATAAATAAATTCATTGAATTTTGTACTAGTACTGCCGAAAAATTTCAGGAACGGTCACGAGCATATCTGTTCCCTGGCTTTTGCTCCTCCCGTGAAGGGGCATGCGCTACATAAGCAAAGAAGAAGAAGAAGCATACCTGTTCTTTATGTGACATTATTTTTTCCCGTAGTTCTATATCACTTTCAACTTGGCTAGTGAAGAATCACTTTAGGTTTTTAAAAATGGCAGATATATCAATGAACATGAGTATCACGCGGAAAATGTCCTTTGGAATCAATGGCAAACTTAACGGCGTCGAAGGCAAGACACCGTTTCTGATAGGTGTTTCAGGCGGCACTGCAAGCGGAAAAGTACTTATCTTAGCACATAGTTAAACATAAAAATATTAACGTCTATCAGAAGATAAAAAGTCTGTTGTCAGAAAATATCTTAATATTTCTGGAAGTTGGTTTTCTGATAATCCTGAATTGATTTTCTGTGCACATATAAGATAGATAACTCTCTCATGCTGGTTTCAGTCTACAGTATGCAAACGTATAATGGAAAAGTTGGGACAGGTTGATATGGATCATCAGCAACGTCGAGTAGTCTGTATTTCACAAGATAGTTTCTATCGTGATCTAACGCTTGCCGAGAAAGTGAAGGCAGAAAAAGGGCAGTACAATTTTGATCATCCTGATGCATTTGACGATGATTTGATTTTACAAACACTGCAGGATATATTGGCTGGTGTCAAGTGTGAAATACCAGCTTACGATTATAGAACAAACAGTTTGTATGTATTTTCAATATTTTATATATTAAAATTTTATAATATTTCAATGTTAAAATTTCCGGAAAATTACAATAACATTTCTATATTTTTCAGAATGAAAGATCAGGTTACTACAATATATCCTGCTGATGTGGTACTGTTTGAAGGAATACTGGTATTCTATTTCCCTAAAATTCGAGATCTGTTTCACATGAAATTGTTTGTGGATACTGATTCAGATACTAGACTTGCAAGAAGAGGTAATTTTTTTGAATAATGTAATATAATTGATCTGATGTAATATATGATCACACATATATGTTGTTGATTTCTTCAGTACCAAGAGACATAAAAGAACGTGGGAGAGATTTGGATTATGTCTTGAACCAGTACATGAATTTTGTAAAACCAGCTTTTGAAGAGTTTTGCTTGCCAACAAAAAAATTTGCAGATGTCATAATACCCAGAGGAGCGGATAATACAGGTACATGATATATAATTGATACTTGATGCTTTCGCGATGTTATAAGAATTCTTAAAGATGGTTTTCAGATTTAAACCGCGTTAGTGTAATATTTTTATATCAACGTTTTGCGAACATTTCATTTTATTAGGATTCAAGCTACTCTTAAACCGTGATGAAGTAAATTGAAACGTCCACGAAACATCGGTATAAAAATACTAACCAGCGCGGTTCAAACCCGAAAACCGTCTTTCGAAATGGCGCGAGGCACTATCGTACTTCTTAATTTTATGTAGCAACATTTAGTTAGCTAATTAATGTGATGTCCTTACTTGCTTATTAATGGGTTTTTGTTTCTTTGTGAATTTGTTGTGTCACATATATTAAGAAAATTTATTAATTTTTTTCTAAGTTTGTGCTTTAATACTGCAGTATTATCTCGTTTGTTTATGAAGCAGTCAACTTGCTAGATTAAACAGATAGGTAGCTTTACCTTTGGAATTATAAACAAAGTGTGTTATAACGGTCAACTTTTATGGCTGACTTTTTTGCAATGATATGAGAATAAAACACTTGTTATTCAGGAAATTCTATATATGGAAATATCCCAGAACCGCGCACATACTTTTCTGGACTACAGATATTACATTTATGGGAAACATTCTTTCCTAGTTTAATAGTTTAAATTAAATAAAAGTTTATTTTTTGTTTATTAATTCTGGATAAACAGTTTTAACGTTAATATTTTATAATCTTTAAAATTTTAACAAGATTACAATATTATTTTATTTTATATATATTTCTCGGCAAAAATAATTCTAAGATATTTTCAATGAAAAAAAGGACTAAAAAGTATAAATGTAACAAAAAAGTATATAATCAGTAATAACACAGTCACGTATGTAATATACATTGATATATATATATATAATAATATAATTGTATATAGATATAATATAGATTGAACATATATAAGTTTGTTTAAAAAAACTTAAAAACAGTTTGAAATTTTAAATCAGATTTTATCTTATTAGTAACAAACAAAAATATGTAATTATTTAACATTATAATGCTTTTGTATTTGATACTTAAGTATGGGCAATATGTATAATTTGTCATAATGTTGGTCTAATCAGTAGAATATGCAATTATTATGTATAAAAACTTCAGATACACACATTAATTGTTTATATTATATAAAATATCTATTAATAGCTGACAATTAATAGCGCTTTTTGTATATACTTATGTATATATTTTATGAAATATTAGTTTCCTTGTTTATATTTTAAATCATATTTATCCAACCTTTTATATACCTCATGGGTGCTGCCTGGTATACCATGATTCCGGATGTCAGAGCTACACCTAGTTAAATTAAGCAAAAGTTAAAGAATGAAAAAGTGTATGTATGTGTGAGAGAGAGAGAAAGAAAGAAAGAAAAAGAATGTTTCATAGAAAACCTATATGTGAGGTTATTGTATGTTTGCAGTGGCAATAGACCTAATAGTGCATCACATCTGGGATATTTTGCGTTTGAAAAAGGCCGAAAGCTCGTCCGGGCAGCATCCATTCCTCTACCAGCGTAGGCGTACTTCGGCCTCTTCCGACACACTCAGCAGATGATTTAAGCATGACAAGCTCACTCTTTTAAGCACAGCATTTTTTTCTATGCCTTTATGTATGACTGAATTTTTCCAGTTCCTTTTTTTAATGTTTAGAAAAAAATAATATTCATCGTTTGTTAAATTTAAAAATTACATTTACATTGTTAGTGCCAATTGATAACAAATCGGACAATCTATCGTCAAAATATTCTCTCATTGAACAAAAGAAAAAACAAACAAATACGCGATAATTTTATCATATCATTATCAAACTGACGCAGTTCTGTCAATGTGACTAATATCAAGTATTAAGTCTTTACATGTGTATATATATATATACATATATAATCATAATTTTTGAAGAATTATGTCTTATATACCAAAAGTGGTGTTTTGTATGTATTAATAGTGTTTTTATATGTATTTAAATCTCGGGGATAAATATTCCTGAATAAATTATAAAAATATACTTAAAAAAAATCAGAAAAATACATGAAACTGTATAAGTCCGCTAAAATATATAGATAATTTAAAAGGATTTACTTGCTGACTAGAGTTAATGAATCATAGATATACATACATAATCACATCTTATATTTCTGAACAAATGTGCAAATATCTCAAATATTAACTACATGAGAAAGTATGTATACATAATGTGTGCAATTGTGTCTGTGATATCATCATGCATGTGTATATGATATATAAACATATATGTAGTACTTACTTTACACACTTTACATTTTAAACTTCTCTATAAAATATTTAATTTCTAAGTATTTCAGTACGATTACATTCGCTTTTAAATACTAATATTTGTATGACTACAATCGCTTTTAAATAATAATATTTCACAACGTAAGAGAGCGCGCACACGTCATTGTCATTAGCATAATCATTTGTGTAATACGAGGTAGTTAGACTAGTTTAAAAGACTTCATTGCATTAATTGCAATTGATTAAAAACTTGTATTTTACATAATAAGATATATTCCATATGACGCGCGTTAATTTTTGTATCTTAATACAAATTTCTATAAAAGTATACAAAAAATACATTAAGAGTAATATTTCTTTCAACATGATATTACTTTTAGAAATTACAAAATTAACTTTATTTTACCTATTTAATATAATTTTTTGATAAAATTTATAAGTGCACAACTTTTGTATAGCTAATATACAAGTTTTAATTAAAATTTTGTAATCTTGTTTCTTTTAAGTTTTTAATTATTTTTGAATTATATGTATTTTTTTATATGTAACAGTTTATATTTTAATAGTCATGTATTTTCATAATTTGTTTTTTTCTTCCTAATCAGTATTTTATCTGTAGTCAACATAAATAGTGCTAGTTCTGGGACATTTTATTGTATATTATCGGTGAAAGAAAACTTGTAAACACAACTATGTCTTATGTATAATAAATTATGTAATTAGATAACAATTGTTGCCTACACACAAAATAGTTGCATTTAATTCCAAGTATCTGAATAATTTTTTATATTGTTTAAGAGATGTAAAAAATGATATATATTACAAATAAATAAATTTGTTATCTCCGTTTGCCCCTGCCCCTCTCAATTGTATATACATATTGCACACTATAATCGCGATTGCACACTGACATTTCGTGATTTGTTGCAGTGGCGATAGATCTGATAGTGCAGCACATAAGAGACTTCTTAAGCAACCGTGGTAGACAAATGATGGAACCTGAGAGTCCAATAAATAGAGTAGAAGGAATATTCAAGAGACCACATTAATCTCTGAAATTTTGTCATGTAGAGAGATGATGTGTTGAATTTTAAATTTTAATCATGTTATATTTTGATATTTGGATTTTTTCACAATTTTTATTATATGTATATATATAACGTAAAAAAATTTAAAGTCAATATTAAAAGTATTACATATTCCGATTTATTTATTATTTTAAGGGTAATTGTAACATATTTTTTCTTGCAACAAAACAATTGTTGAATGATATTTTGAAGTTTATACTTAGATATGTGTCTAGAATATCAAAGGATATTTGTGTGTAGCAAAGCTCTCTGCAAAAGAAACAAAACACATGAAAGTAAAGATCTAATTTTGCTTCTGAAAAGATTGAACATTTATATTCTAAGAAATGTGTTTTTCTAAGAGCTTTATTTTATTTTCACTTATTTGTGTTCATTTACTATACTTTTGAACAATTTTTATATATCAGCATAAAAAAAGCTGTAATATTAAATGTAGATATTGTAGAAAATTGTTACAATATAACACAATATTTAGGAGATATATAAATATATATAAAAATAAATCTTTCTTGTTGACATTTTATTATTGTTCAATATCTTATATTTAATCTTTTAACATTTACATATAATTATGTACCTAAACATAAAAAAATGAAAAGTTTAAGAATGATATATTCATTTAAAAATGCTTTACATGTTATTTTATAAATAAAATTATTGGTAGTAAAGTTCTAAGTTCATCCCGTCATGTATTTCATCTAAAATAGTGTTAAGAAAGAAATAGTATATACTAAAGTACCACACATAACTGTTATACATTCTTGCAAAAAAGGATACAATCTTGCAACTTTATGTGATCCTTGAAGATGGTGTACCACTTTTTCAACACAATTTTCTCCCAGTGTGTTCCTGTTTGAGCTGCTATTAGTTTTTTCAAATCTCCTATAGTATCATCTGGATTACATTTAACTCTGACTTTTTTTCCAAGACGATCATTGCACGTTATCTCTAACATTTTTTATATATTAAACCTAAAGAGTCAGAAATTTTAATACCATAATTTCACATTAACTTTGAGAGAACCACATCTCTCTCATTTATGTATTGAAATTATATTAGTTTGTTATCACAAATCAAAGAGTATATATACATGTACTCCCACTTTCCTATAAATTTATGTATATAACTCGGATATTATCAACAACTGCTATGTGTTAAAAGCGCGATGTTAGAACGTCGAAAATCTTTGCGAGTTTTTCACGAAGAACAGATATTGCACAATGACAGAATACAAAAGCGAACTACTAACCTTTTCTTTCGACGAATCTAAAGAAAACAGGAGAGTTTTGAGGTTATGGCAAGAATAACAACCAGCTGTGGTAAAGTGTGACGTTTTCAAATTGGTAACAATGAGACATAGGAGTTATTAGATACTCGTCAATATTCGTTTAGCAAATCCAAGCAAATCCGCCATATTTGGCATATGTGTCAGAAAGGTTAGGTATGTTTTACGCTCCGCGAGCGAAGCGATTTACTTTGCTTCAAATATTATAATGTTGATATGTTATTAAAGAGCAGTATTAAAGCATTTTTTACGCTTTTTGCTACGATAAACACTATTGTACAACGATCAACAATTGTGAAAAAAAATCCGTATGAGAGTGTACGTTATCAGGCCCCATGGCAAAACCAGAGCGGCTTCGTTTTACGATTCTGGATGACTTGATACTTCTCCGAGAAGTTTCAGAACAAAATCCATACGAGGAAAGCGAAAGATGGAAAACTGTTACCGAGCGAGTCGTAAACGCGACGCAGAAAAATTTCAGTTTACGTTGCGTTAAAGATCATGTTGACCATTTGCTGAAAATATGGACTAGAGAAGGCCGCGCACATTTGAGGAAGTAAGCAAGCGAGCATTTGTTGTTTCGCGTGCTAAATATTAACAAGATTTATAGTATTAGAAAAATGCTACTTGAATGACATCACTAAAACGATTATTAAAATTTTGAATGGTCTGCAGGTCGGGGACAGAGGAGCAATATAACGAAAAAGAACGACTTCTTCAACAAGTACAAGACTTGCAGAGAGAATTTAGGCGTTTCAGTAAAGGCATCAATTCCAATATGCAGAAGTTAAGAGTACAGGCACGAGATGTAACGTTAGAGAACATTTCCGATACTTTAGAAGTAATAATAGAAGAACCTACAGTAACAACTCCTCTTCCAATGTCTTTTCCATCTTCCACACTGTTACCAATTTCATTACCATCGCCAACTCCATCATCTTCGTCATCTTCATCAACCCCGTTAGCTTCAGTTAGTCCGTTACGATCATCAATCACATCACCGTCAAGAACAGGAGGCCCAATTAGAAATAAAGCTCGTCATGATGCATTGAAGAAATCAACATTACAATTTTTGCAAGAAAGACACAGAAAAGAGGTAGAATTTCAAGAGAAACAACTTCGTTTAGAAGAGAGGAAGCTTCAACTTGAGGAAGAAAAATTTAAAATAGATAAAAAAGAACGTGAGGCAAGACTTGAATTGGAAATTGAAGAAAGAAGACAAAGAATTGCTGTATCTAAGCAGAAACAAGAAATTTTGAAGATATTGTTACAACTGATACATTAAATCTTGATTATTTTTGTAATTATATATATGTAATAGTCTTTTTGTTTTATTGATTTATAAATAAAATTGTTGTTAAACCAAGTACATATATCATTTTAAGCATTTGCTTTATATTTGAAACAATTACCATTTCTAAAGTCAACCGATTTTAAGTTGTTGAAAATATCGAATTGAATATGTAATTTTATTTTGTGTTACAACTTTGTGTTATAAATATTAGAACTTGAAAAGCATGTTGCAAGATTCCTCAGTAGTACAATAATTAATATTCCCGCCTGTCACGCGGGAGACCGAGGTTCGATTCCCCGCCGAGGAGAAATTCTAGTGGCAATTTGTTTTTATAAAAAATATATATATTTGTTCGAAATGTGCGTGCCAGTTTTCATACATCATGACGTATAATTCTGCATAATTATATATTATTATTAGTCACTTGTGTTTTTATTATATTAATTAATGTATACACAATTTTTATGTGCACACCATAGACTATATATACACACATACATACATATATATCACATACTAGCTAATACCATAGACGTATAATATATAGACTGCGCGTTTGGCTGAAAAGATGTCTTCAACGTTGAGAGAGACAACATACTTTGAATAGTAACTCTTTCTCTGTCTATCATTTCCCCCACTACTTCGCTAGACAAAGATGAGGCTACTATTCAACACCAGCTGTCTCTCTCTCTCTCTCTCTCTCAACGTTGAAGACATTTTCTTACCATGGCAAAGGTCTATATATTATATGTCTATGGCTAATACACTCTAAAGCCCCTTGCACAATGGAAGGAATAGCGATAGCGATAGAAATAACACCAGTTTTTTAAAAAGTTTATATTTATGAATAACGGTAGGGGAACAGCAGAATCTAACATACAAAAATACACATGTTTCAATGCAGATCAGAAAACAGAATAAGCAATAGCAACAAAATTTCCGACGAGTTGGAATTCTGTGTCTATTGCTTATATCGCTATCACTATTCCCTCGCATTGTGCAAAGGGGCTTAAAGCGCTTGTTTTAGAAACGCAATTTAGTTTCTTAGTGTAACACAAGAGTGCATTACGATTCTTATTTTTTAATTTAGCGTATCTATTAGATATGTAATACTCCAGGTTTTTCACCACAACTAGTAAAATACGTTGGAAAAAAGATAAAGAAGCTGTTCAGAATTTCAGAAGCTTCTTAAACTACGTTACAAGTTGAATTCGCAGTACGTATTAATTATGTGTGATATTTGTTTTTTCTAATATATAGTACTTTTATTTAGGAACTTAAAAAAAGAATATCCCTGCAAGATGCAAACTTAAGCAAATCTTTTAAATAATTTTAAATTTTCAATAAAAAATTTTTCATATATATTTTATTAAGAATCATTAATGAGATAATATTGTGCTATTGTACGAAAATAAATTGTATTTCTAGCATTTTATTTACATACAAAATGCTAATTGGCTACCGCATTGTTTCTTGTCGCGTCTTGTCTGCAGGCGCCATTAGGCGGCTATACAAAACATATACAGGAAATGGCGAGAGCGACGCGTGTGTACAACACTAGCACCACCTATATCTCATACGGTTGAGCAAGCGTGGCTAATCAAAGCATCAAAAGGTAAGCCGCGAGGGCTGTTTATTTTTGGTTTTTCGTCTGGTAGCTGTGCTCCGTCTCGGCAATTTGTACGAGTAATGCGCTTCCTGGCCGCGTCGGACAGTTCATCGTGCTCAAAAAACAGCTGACGAAGCAGCAATGACCACGGAAACGTAGGTGTGAACGCGCCGGACGGGCCGTAACTTGTCGGGCATCTTGCCTAGTAAAGCCAGCTCCATTGCACATCCCGCTTTACCCCGTCCTTCTTCCGTCCGTTGCTCCTATCTCTTTCTTTCCTGTTGCTCCCGCGTGCGCGCTGCTCTAACCGCTTCTGCTTGACGTGGAGCACACTGATAATCTGCTCTCGTCGTCTCAGCCGCGGTTCCTGACGACGCGTTTATTTATGTACAAACTATCACATGGGCGGATCACCGAACGAGCAAACAAGCATATCTCGAGTATATAACCAATCTCTTCGTCAGCCGTTGTTTTCCTTTTGTTGATACATATGTAAATGCGCCGGAAAACATTTAATAATGAAATTATTTTTTTCTTATGCTGCAGAAAAATGAGTAGCTCTGAGGAGGTATCTTGGATCTCATGGTTCTGCGGCTTACGCGGAAACGAGTTCTTCTGTGAAGTGAGTAATCATGACGTTACTTTTAGTTCAATTTATTGAATAAACTTTTGGATTAGTGTTAATCTTGTAATATATTAATACAAAAATATTAATCCAAGTTTTGCATCAAAGATTCTGATATCTTAGTCTTATCATTTCTGTGTTGCTTACTCTTTGTACTTGATATAAGATATATGTTTATATTTTCATTTTTTTAAATAAAAATTAAACAACAAAAGCACAAAATTCAGTACATGTTATAGATCAAATATAAAAAGTTCTGCAACTAAATTCTTTATAGTGAACTTAATGTAATTGTATCATATTCAGGTAGACGAAGATTATATTCAAGATAAATTTAATTTGACTGGACTAAATGAACAAGTGCCACATTATCGTCAAGCATTAGACATGATTCTTGATCTTGAACCTGGTAAGTTATTTCAATAATAAATTAATGGGAATAAATTGTATAAATTTTTTTTAATTATTCATTTTTATTCACATTTATTTGATAGATGATGATCTGGATGATAATCCAAATCAATCGGACTTGATTGAGCAAGCTGCAGAAATGCTCTATGGTCTTATTCATGCGCGCTATATACTTACTAATCGTGGCATTGCTCAAATGATTGAAAAATATCAAGCGGGTGATTTTGGTCACTGTCCACGAGTTTATTGCGAGTCCCAGCCGATGTTACCACTAGGTCTTAGTGATGTTCCTGGCGAGGCTATGGTCAAGAGCTATTGTCCCAAATGTATGGATGTTTACACTCCAAAAAGCTCGAGACATCATCACACTGATGGCGCGTATTTTGGGACAGGATTTCCGCACATGTTATTCATGGTCCATCCAGAATACAGACCAAAACGTGCAGCAAATCAATTTGTACCTAGGTAACTATTGTAGCACATTCTGATTTTTGTCTATGACTTTGATATTCGATAGACACGAGATATAAATGTTTTAACTTACATATTCTCACAGTTTTTGTGCATATATAGAACGTACATACAAACTTTTGAAAATGAAACACTCTGTTTTAGATTATATGGCTTTAAAATCCATCCCCTAGCATACCAGATTCAGCAACAATCTGCATCAACGTTTAAAGCACCTCTGCGAGCTCTCAACTACAACAATGGGAAGCGTTAATTTCATTTCGGCATAGTTTAGAATAACTTCCTTTCTTTATTCGTAATTACTTAATTTGCCCCGAAGAATAAAGTACTATTTTTTATATCTGTTTTTTCAAAATATTTCTACATAAATAGAACATATTCTACGGATTCGCTCTTTGCAATCGTGTTGGTTTGGTCGTTATTTTATCGCTTCTTTTTACACGTTTTCGGATTTTCGTGATACTGTGTACGAAAAGTCGAAAAAAAAAAAACTTGATCGAGACTTGCAAATAGTGTTACCAGCAACATTTTCAACACAAGTATTTTCGCGAAGAACTAATGTATTCGCATGATTTAAAACGTTGAGGGTAAAGAGAAGAAAATTTATTGTAATCATAATTGACATTTATGATAATTGTTAGTTTCTATAAATGAAAAAAGGAACACTTCATTCGTTTTTGTACAAAGTATTTGCGTATTTGCTGCCAAGTTCCTAAACATGCAGGAGCTGACTTCGTGAGAGAGTCGAAATGGAGATAATGTTGGGTTCCCATTGGTTCTTTTCAAGTAAAAGATGTATAAAAGAATAGTTAAGTTTGTAATTTAATTTAATCGACGAGTGAATAGTACACGAACTGTGATAGGAACACTTTGTTAACATCTCCAACCCAGTTCGGGTCACTGATATCTCAAGTACTGTTACAATGTGGTCTAGTTGGTGACTCGAAACATTCTTATATATGTGCGTTATCATCCGATAAGGAATATCATAAAAATTAAGCGTCAAGTTGTACATGTTAACATATAATGTTTATAAGTTTATTCCTAATAAAAATTACTAGAATGTCGATTTTTTACAGTAAACCAAAATTGTGTAATAAGAAAAGATAATAAGAAATTAATAAAAAAGATAATCTTTTATTATCTTTATCTCGATTTCTATCACAGTTCTTGTTTATAAACATTTAGTATTCACACATAGAATACAGAGCCAGTTTTACTATTTCGTACTAAATTTATCCGCCAAGTAAACCGTGTGACTACGTTTCGTAGCTGGGAGCTTTCCAGCTACGTACACAGGCGACACTGTAACACAGTGTCCACTAGTGTGAGTGAGACACACTGATATGCTCTTTCTCACACTAGTGGACACTGTGTTGCACAGTGTCGCCTGTGTACGTAGCTGAAAAGCTCCCACTGCTAATAATATGTGTGTGTATATATATAATATATATATATAACCTGTAACGCATGCGTAATTATTGGTGTAGCTCATATGTTTCGAATCTTTGCGTAAACAAAATGCATCCCAAAAATAGATGCGCAGCGATACGATTAACAATAACCAAATTGTCATTACAGAATACGAAAATTGATATCATTAAACCAATTGTTATCGTGAGTTACATTAGTCGATTTGAACAATCGATTAGTGATTGGACGTAACTTCCATGAGAATGGTTGTTACTAAATTGCATTTAGCGTTCTGTGTAAGATTAGTCCATGTTGCTAAACTCAACTAAATAGCTAATATGGTTAATCAGTTTAAACGAATAATCAATCAATTAAGTTAGTCAGAGATGATAAAACTGGCTTTCAGTATCTTGCAATTAAAAGAAAATTTTATGTACATTTTTTTAACAACATAGCAATTAATAAAAATGTTTATTTTCTATTTGAATCACATCCGTAAAACAGCTCACTTAAATAAATTCATCATATTTATAAATAAATAGATGCGTAAACTACTGTAAAAAATGTTGTAATACCACTAATTAAAATATGCTTTATTTACATTCATCATTCACATCAACCAAAGACTAAAAGATTGATTTATTTGCAAAATAAGTAAATATCTTAATTAGCATTTTATATCCGCTATTGCTTTGCACACTAAATAATTTTTTTGTTTTTATCTAATAATTAAAACTTGATACAATTTTTGTGCATTTTTATTTTATCTTTATTTTATAATCTTGTAACGAAAAAGAATTCTGCTTTTTAAGTGATTGTTATAATAACTTTAAAAATATAAATACATATGACAAACTATAAAACAAATTTTATGTATTGTAAATCTAGTTTTCTTCAATTTTCTTTTACTTGCTATAATGGGTGCGTTCAGACAACTCAACGGTTGAGAGATCATCACTTATGATAGGACTATTCTTCAAAATCTGCTTCGGTTCCAAAAGTATGATCCAATCAGAAGTGATTATTTCTCAACTATTGTGCAACTGTTGAGTTGTCTGAACGCACCCAATGTTGATTGGCTGTCAGTTTTCACACACGGTCAAAGTTTATTGGTTAATGTCCTAGGGAACTTTGGCGACAGCATGCAGTATTCGATCGGTACAGGTTGAATCGCTCACAGAGCAATTAATAACGGGTGCGTTCAGACAACTCAACAGTTGCACAACGGTTGAAAGATAATTACTCATGATTAGATCATACTTTTGGAACTGCGGTAAGTTTTGAAGAATAGTCCTATCAGAGAGAAATCTGAGAGCGGCCATCCTATTGTAATTTTTTACCACGAAGTAAGAATAAGGAGACTTAACTAGATAGTACATAGAGAAAAAAAGTGGTCAGTAAAAATATTCCATGTAGGAAGAGGTTTGCTAAATAGAATAACTTGCAACATTTTGTCGCCATTTTAAGTTTGTTCTTTTTAGTTAAAGTTGCTGTGCAATATTCATATAGTGCAATCACGTCCAGTATATTGGCTGCGTTCGAAGAGCGTGCTATCTGTGCTATTGTAATTCTATCTGTTTTACATCTAATGAGAGGTAACAATAAAAGAATACAATATCGCAGATAGCGTGCTCCCCGCAAAAGTAAGTATAATTTAATTACATTTTGTAATTATGTATAATGTTATAGAATTTTGCNGAAAATTAGAATTTGCTGAAGTATAAATTTTTTATTTTTATAACCGAAAATTGTTTGTCGATTAATTATTAATATTTAGCTAAGAGCAATATTTATTTTGCTCTAAATAATCAGAATATATTTTTGCAATGTGTTCAAATATTAATATAAATAATTTTTAGCGATATATTACTATTTTCATTGTTTTTTATTTATAAGATAATTTTCAATTTTAATATCTTATTTTCTGTTATAATATTATAGGTACAAAATTCTGAAGTAATGGCTTGTTGTATCAAAGAATGTAAATCAAGAGGAGGTAAAAAAGCTGAAAAAAGAAGGTTATTTACACCTCGCACTGTAAGTATTTACATTGGTTTTATGTTGATCATTGTTATGGATGCTTCCCAGCAAAACATAGTG